TAGATAAATTAACATCGATTTTCTAAATTCTGTTGATTTAATTACTTTCAATTGGAAGAAATTTTATGAGTTTATTTTCTATTTAAAATTTTCTTTTTTTATTATTTATTATTTATTTATTCATTATTATTTATTTATTATTTATTATTATATTATTTATTTTATATATTTCATTTTTTCTTATTTTTTTTCGAGTTTCTCTTGAAAATATATTCCATTTAACTATCGCCGTTCGCCATTTAACGGCACTTTATTTGGCGACAATGTCGCCGAAAGGAGTTATTTTTATGTTTGTGGAAATCTAAAAAACAGGATTTGCCGTTCAATGATAATATTTGAATCAAAAGAGTTGAGTTGAGTTATCGAATTCAATCTTTTTTAATAATGATTTCTAGCCCAGTGATTGTTGCTTAGTTCCTCGAAAGTTGGTGTCTATTTCCGAAAGGAAACGAGTAAACCTATCAAAAAAATGGGGAAATAGCATGGAACCCAAATTTTCTTCTATCAGTTGATTACCAAAAAATTCCGAATTATAATAGTTAATGAAGTGAGCTCAACTAGAAATAGTAAATGCTTACTTTACTTACCAACATTGAACTTTTTTAATTTCTAAGAAAAGTTAGTAATTTTGAAAAATGATGAAGTGTAAAATAATGATTTATTTTATTTTTGCGAAATCAAATATTTCATTTCATATTAGCGAAAAAAATTTCAAAATTACCATTTTCGGAATTCGGAAATTCCAAATTTCTTTCGTAATTTTAAAATTTTTATAAAAATTTAAGAATTTAAAAGCAAAAATAATATTTTTTCACTATTAAATGTAAAAATTTAAAATTTATTGCAATATTTTTGCAAAAAATTCCTCGAAATGCTAGACGAAGACGAAAAACGAAAAAAAAAAATTGTTTGGAACAATAAATCTTTTTCGAGAGATTTATATAATTATATATATTGGTTGTTCGGCATTTGCCTTTCTTTTTTTCTTCTCAATTAATTCGAATCAAAGTTAAGAAGTTTTTTTTTACCTTTCAGGTACTTATTCCTATGGAATTCTAAATTTAAGTTCAAAGAAGTTTTATTGTTGAAATAAGTTAATTGAATGAATATTAGCTTAGATTGTCGTGTTAATAGGCAAGGATTTGGCTGTTGGGGCCGAGGAATAATCTGTCATTAAAAAATTCGAATCGTGTTGGCGATTAGCCTATATCACTTTATCACTTACTGGCAAAATTTTTCAAGTCTGATAAGTAAGCGAAGTAACCAGAAATGGCGATTAAATAGTCGAAAGCTAAGCAATTTTTTTCCTTTTAAGCCATTTTTTTTATCAAATGAATAATAATAATAAATGAATAAATGAATAATAACAATTATCAAAATTTAGAATAAATTTCATTAAAATTGCGATTTAATTTGAAGAAAATTTTTTCGATAAAAAATGTTAATGAATTAAATAAATTGAAAATTAAGGAAAAAAAGAATCAATTAATGACTTTCTTAATTATTTATCCGAGTTGAATTTCCAATATTTTTCCTTAATTTGCTCATTAATTCCACGAAAATTATCGCTTTTCTTTTTCTTTCTTTTTTCATAAATTTTTAAGTAATCATAATTTTGAAAATTTTTTTTTTAAATTTACATTCATGTTTTTGTTATTAAAAATATAAATTTTTTATAATAAATTTATTTATATCGAGAAAAAATCAAAAAAAAAATCGAATTTGCAATGTTCAACTCGATTTAAATTTGCCAATTCGATTATACAACGAAAGCAAAAAAACTAGTAAAAATTAGAATTGAAATAAATTTTTCAGTAAAAAAATCGGATTTATTGAAAATATAAATCTAGTATTTTGAATATTTTATTTTTCATTGCCACGTTGAAAATTAAATATTTGCATTTTTCAAATATTACTAAACCAAATTCTATTTTTTCAATAAAAAAATTAATAAAATAATTAATATTTTAATAAAATCTATGAAATTATTTGTGATGGGTATCTTTTTTTCGAATATTATCAAAATATTCATGATGATTATATTGTGATAATATTCATAAATTTCTGATTAGCACTGATTACCATTTCTAATTAGACTCGTCGCGCTGTTAGTACGGCGAAAAATTTTTAATAAGGAATCATTTAACGATAGAAATACAAGTAGGTCGTTAGTACCATTTGAATTTTTTGGACAAATCTGCTCCAATTAAAATTAGGATTTGGAATCTCTGTCGTTAAAGATCTGGTGGAACTAAAATCACTTGGCTGTACCATTTATAAAACTAATATTAATAAGATGATAGCGAAATTTCTACCGCTTTTCTGATAATAAATAAATTTTTATTAAAAATGCTCATATTGAAAATTAGCTTAATAAAAGCTTAAATGAGATTTGGAAAACAAACTTTATGATAAGCGATTATAGTTGATTATAACTGAATTGTATGCTATTTATGTGAGAAAGTTTTGTTTTACATTGATTATGATTTTTATATTTTCATATTTTACTCCGGGTGGCGCTCGTCTGTATTCATTTGCTACTCGTATTCCTTAAGTGTCTCTTTAGTGAAAGAAAAGTCTCATCTTGGTAGCGAATGGTGTCAACCAAGCCAGTCAAACCGGTAGTGATGAATAGTGGTTAGAAGAAAAAGATGAAGAAGTTCAATTCAATTTATGAATTAGTTAACTGAATTCATATTTTTGCAAATATTTTTTTTGAATTTTTTGCCAAAGTACCAAAGGAATATTTTTACAATAATTTTAAAAATTTTTTTTATCTTTTTAATAGTTCTGATGAGAAAAATTAAAATATATTTTAAAAAATAAGTCGGCCAATAATTCGATTTTTTATTGAGGCATTTTATTTACTTATTTCTTATAAGCAGGTGCAATTCTAATAAATATTCCTCTGGTATTTTGATTCGTTCAATTGCTCTGTTTTTTTTCTGTTAAATATTATCTTTCAAAATTACTAATGACTTTATTATTAATATGTATATGTTATTTTGTGAATATACTTACGACAGTTAGAGGGGGAAATGGAATTTTTTCAAAGTTTTTCCTTGCCATATGTTAGTCGTTCCAAATGCGTGAAATGAAAAAAAAAACAAACATTTGGTTGCATTCCTGAATCTAAGTCGACCACGGAATGAAATATGTAAATTTACATCTCAAATTTATCGGAATGAAAATGAAAAATATTAATTAAAAAAAAAATATTAAAAATATTAATTTTCTTAATCCAGAAAATTCGAGTATTTCTAATATTTTTTATTATTTCTACTTCTATATTTATGAAATTTTCTTAAATTAAATTACGTAAATTTCATAAATTTTTAGCTTTTATTTAGCTAAATTTCTTTTTTTTTGTAAAAATTAAACGATTCATTTAATTTATTATTTCGATTTAAAAATGAAGAAAAGAAGAAAAAAATTATAGTGGATTTAGCTTTTAACTTTATCCGAGAGTAATCGAGTGGTGCGGTTTGTTTCGTTCTGCTAGAGAAGCTTAGACTAGAGAAGTCACCAAAAAACATCGTAAAGTGAATTTCCTAGTAAAAATTTCTATTCCTACTAATAGTCATCGAAACTAGTCAACCAGAAATAATAAGTGCCAGTCATTTCACTATTTGATTTTAGACGTCCATTTTAATTTGATTTAATTCTTAAATTTCCTTTTTTTTCGTTGAATTTCTTTTTTTTTATGAATTGTTACATTCTTCTTGTTAACTGAATTATTATAAATATAAATTTACAATTAGATTGCTTGAGTTTAATGGGGTTTCTTTTTTGATTTACAATGAGGATTATAAGAACTTGAAGCTATGAATTCCAGTTTCTTATCATTTCTTATCACATTTTGTAGTATTTGATAAAAAAAGATGGAGAAAATGAGGATCTTATTTTAAAGAATTTTAAAGAAAATCCAAAATTCTAAAAATTATCTATACGGCTGAAATTTATAGCAACAAAAATGTAAAATCCTTTTAAATCCTTCTATTGTTTATTATTCAATATTTGAGAAAATTCAACTGATTTGATAAAATATTCAATGAGGGTTTCACAAAAATCCACCAATTATCATATTATCACAGACCGCTGTGATTTCCTATTTCTGAACTACGAATGCATATAATAATGTTGTAATATAACAGGGCGAAATAATAGCCTCTCGTTCATCATCATCATCATCATCATATGGCTTAAATCTCAATAATTTCGGTTCAGTAGTTTTATATTTTTTCCTGACTGATTGAACGAATATTTGTTTATTCAGAATATGATTGTGTATATATTGTATATATTATCAATTATCATCAATATATATGCTCGTAATTGTAATTTTTTTCTACTATAGGCTTCCATTTATGAATTTTTTTTTCTATACTATTTAACATTGTTCGTTTAGTCTTCTATTTCTATTTAAATTTTTTAGTGTTTTTTTCAGATTTGAAAAGTAATTAAATGAAATTCAATGATATAGGTTTTCGTTGAAATATTTCTTTGCAGAAGTATTTAGTATTATTTGGAAAATATTTTTGCAAATCTCCGAAAAAAAGGTTTATTCATTTTCATTTTTCTTTTTTTTTTATTGCAAGTAAAAATACATTTCTAAATATTAATTTATAAAATTCTAAATCTATTGAAATTTTTAGAGTTTTTCTTAAAATAATAATTATTCCAAAATTAAAACTTTTTCATATTTAAAAACTAAAAATGCAAAACTATCGACGATATTAATTTGAACATCGATAAAGGATAATTATAATTATAAATAATTATAATTTAAATATTCATAAAATTATAGATTTAACAGTTTTAAATTATAATTATTTTATAATTATTTTAAGATTATAATTATTCCTTATTTGAATGGCAAAATGTTATTTCATTTCACTTATGATTTGTAAAAATTTTCGATTTTTTGGTATATAATTTTAATGAAAAATTTCAGAGATTTACTACTGCGTTTTAATTGAAAAAAAAAAACGTTAAGCAAAATGACGGCAGATTTAATGAATTCTGATTTTCGATTATTTAAAATTGAAATCGACAAGAACGAATATCCAACGCATGATAATATGCCTATCACTGGACATATTAAAATCGAACTTAAAAAACCACTAATTATTAAAGCTATTAAAATACAATTCAAAGGACGAGCACTGCATAGAGAAAATGGAAATGAATCAGAAAAAGTTCGTTTCTTATTTTTCGCAAATTTTTTTTTTTTTTGCATTTTTTATTGGTTTTATTAATTTTTCATTGAAAATTCATAGATTTTCTAGTCGTAAAAATGGATAAAAATCAAGAAAAGTTCGATGATTTTTAAGCGATATAGAATTAGATTAAAGATATTTTATCCAAAATTTTTATGTATTCCAACCATATAGTCTTTTTTGTTTTATTGGATTTCTTCAACTCGCTTGTTTATTCATTTAGAGGATTTAGTGTAAGAATATTAATAAAGAAAAATCCAGCAATAACATTCTTGAAATAAAATAATTTTAGGCATATGTGGACAATGATTTCAATCTTCTGGATAGGATTCCTGGCCAACCGGTTCCAGCAAGTTTTCCATGGAATGCTAATTTTTTATATTCTTTACCTTTTAATTTTATATTTCCTGCGATGTGTCCAACTTCTTATGAATCTCCGCAGGGTTATATTCGCTATTGGTTGCGTTGTACCGTTGTGTTGGACGATGCACAGGTTATTGTTTAAAATTATAAAATTTTCTTGAATATTATTCTTCAAAATATTTCAAATTTCAAATTATTAACGGTTGAAATTAATTGAGATATAAGCGCTGACGATTCTTGGTTGGGCTCGCTCTATTCACTTAGAAATTTTTGTTAGAAGTTTTTTTGTAATTTTTTTGAAATGTACAGTTGGATTTCTTGCGTCGAACTAAAACTCTGAACTGAAACTTTTCAGTTGAAATATTTTGAAGGAAAAATTGAATTTGGCTTGGGTTTACTTGTAGGATTCAAGTCTCAATTGATGTTATTCAGAAATAAAAATAACTAAAATATAAAGAACGGCTTAATTAGAAAGATAAAAAGAAATATGAATGATAAGAAATGATTTTAAAAAATGAAAAATATATTTTCATTTGGGTAAAAAAAATATTTTTGCAATATTTATTATTTATTAACAATATTTATTTTACAAAAAAAAAAAATATAAATCGCGCAAATCTTTAAGATCAAAATGTATTTATTAAAAGTTCATACATATCTTGTATGCCAAAATTTTTTTTATTTTGTTTTTATCTTATCTTTATCAATTTGTTATAGAAAACGGAATATATGATAAAAAAAGGTCTTAATGTGGTTGCATGGCGTGCAACGTCATCAGCAGATCATCCATCAAATTCGATTAGTGCATCGGAGACAATTTCTTTTGGTACTTGCTGTTGTCGAGGAAAATTATCCGCCGAAGTGCAATTACCTAAATCAAATTATTCACCCGGAGAAGTTGTATACGGATCGCTGAAAATTAATAATCGACATCCAAGGCATATGATTGAACTGGTAATTGTATTCTGGTTGATGATTTATAGTCGTAAAACTAACTAAAATCTTGAACAATTGGTAAATAATTGGCTTATCAAAATTCAATTGATTGAACTATTACTTAAAATTTAAACTTTTCCAGGTGGACGTTAAACTTGTTGATTCCTTGACTCGAGCAAATTCACCTTTCGCCTATCCAGGTCGAACACTTGTCCATCAAAAATTGGATCTAAACAATTTGAAGCCAAAAGGTGTCACGCAGAAGGATGACATCGCATTTATCAAAATTCCTGCAGTGGCTCCAACAACAATACAAGGATCATCAGACTCTATGATGACAGGCTTGTTTTTCAGTTCATCATTTATAAAGAAAGTAAAAATTGAAGAAAATGCTAGTCTAATCTGAAATCATTTATCTACTATGGAAAAGATAAGATAAGATGTAAGAGCGTAGGTTTTTAATAATGCTTTTCTGAAAGGAAGATTAGAAAGCTTTGAAAATTTTGACTTCAGACAAATTTTGACTTGATTTTGACTTGAATTTTAGAATTACTTAATCGTTCTCTCTTTTAAGTTCCACAGTTTTCTTTCAACTTTGCAGAGGAGATGATTTTTGGTTTGAGTTTGGTTATGATAAGAGATAAATAAAGTGTCAATCTTTATTAGTTGATTTATCAATATTTATCTGCAATCATAATGTTTTGTGGTGTTTTATATGAATTTTCATTCTTTGGAAATATTATCATTGAGTTGATATACATGCAAATGCGTTCCACATTTTCTGCAATTTTAATTTAATATTAAATTTTAATATTTTATATTTTAATATAAAATTTTAATTTAATTTTAATATTAAATTTTAATTTTTAAATTTTTTTCTTTCCAATTTATTTCTTTATTTTCTTTTAGGTTCATATATAAATGAGGAATCGAATAATGTCGGAACTATGCATAGTAATAGTTTCGCTTTCAGAAAACAACCTTTTCTTCAAATTCATTACGAAATTCAGGTAATTTCAATATTCTAAAATAGATTTCGATAGGCCTCTTATTTTTAATGGACTTTTTACCTTCATGAATTGGCTCAAAGTTAAAATTCAAGAAAATTTTTAAAATTTTCTATGTTTCCATGAATATTTATATGGAACTCTTTGATTTTCGACGTAGAACATAATAGAAGTGAAGTACTAAATATCTATATTAGTGAATGGTTCATGTTCATCATTTCTGGTTAGATTTGCTTTGCTGACTCGTCGACGGATCAAATTTGATAATATAAATAATGAGATTTGATAATATAATATGATATTATATGATATTTATTTGATAATATAAATTTGATAATTTGATAATATTACGGTTGCCAGCACCTTCCGGATTATTGAAAGGCTGGTTTATTCCTGCGAGGATGGATGGGACCCTCCTAGTATCGACAGTCTGAGATGGGAACAACAACTCATTGAGGCATTTCACTCATTCTTCTAATTGAGTGAACTGCCTAAATTTTTTAAAAACTATATTACCTTTTAAAAGAAATTATCTTTAGGTGGTTATATCAGGTAAACTCGAATTACGTCTGCCAATAACGATAGCAGCATTACAAACGCAAGGATCACGTATTGTATATAAGCCATTCGTTGGAGGCCCGCAAAATATCATCGAACGAGATGAAATGGACAAAAAAAGATTGAATAATTTCGAGTTTACTCCATACTACCCATATCTTAATGAAATAACGAGTACCATAGGTGGCATTGGCAGCGATGGTATTAATTCAAGCAGTTAATAAATATTTGTTTAATTATTTAATGTGCTTATTTGTTTGTTTAATGAAAAATAAGAATCGGAAAAAATTAAAAAATGTAAAAAATAAATTCGTTGCCTGTACGAATACGAATCGAATTCATTCTAAATCAATCAAAAACCCAACTGTTTGAAGAGTTTATATTAATTTATTGTTGGGGTCATAGGTCACGTCCATTCTCGATTCACAAATTTTTTTAGCTTTCCTTTTTCTTTTGTGCCTTTTCGCATTCATTCATTTATATTTATATATTTTTAAATAAATAATTCATTTTAGTTTATTTATTATTATTTTATATTTATTTATTTGTGGTTTGTAGATTCGTTGGATTATTTTTCGATTTCGATTTCATCTCAACCATTTTTTCTTATAAGAAAAAAACTTCTTATTGATATTTTCTGCATATAAATAAACTAATTCTTTGCTATAGAAAAGAAAAAAGTGAAAAGCTCTACGAACCACATTTTGTGACGAAATTTCACCGTTGATTTTTCTTTCCATTCTTCTTCATTCCTCCTCTACTCATTTATTATATAGAAAGAAAAAATGATATCTTCGTGTGTGTGGTATTTGTGAGATGTTGTTGAAATCAGTCCGCATTTCAATGATAATTGAAATCATTATCTTTATCAGTTCGTTATCAGTCGATTTTATGTGGATTCAATGTAATGAAAAAACTATTTCAGCAACATATTTCGAATTTATTCTTGCTTATCTTTTTTTTAATTATTTTTTAATTATTTGTATTTCCTAATCATCTCAATTTTTAATGAATTTTCCATTAATTTAAAAATTTTAAGTTAAATTTCAAGCAATGAAAACAATATTATCATTTTCAAGAGACATTAGGCGTTATAAGTAATTTTAATCATATTTCTCATTACTGCCACCGATCTACAAAGACTCTCAAATATACGTTTGAAAACATTTTCGAACCTTTTATTATTTTATTATTATTAAATATTATTTTATCTTAGATACTACGAATGTGATATAATATTTTTTATTTTTTCATTATATATATATAAAGCAAATAAGTACTAAAATTTTTTTATTACATAAAGTTAATAGTAAAAATAATAAAGTAATAAATAAATATTTATTTCTTAACGATAAAAAAATTCAAATCGACTAAGCATATGCAAACGAGAGAAAGAAATTTACAACATATGAGGTCAAAGAGATTTACAACGCACATTTAAACTACTATTAAATAAACTATTAAACTATTAAATAAAGCCAACCCGCTTTAAAAAATTGCTTTGCCATTTTTCTACCAAAGTCGATTAGACAGGACATAATTAAAAATTTATGGCCAACACCCAGTGATTTTAAAAGATTAATATAGAAAGAAGCAAATAAACAAAATAGAATCAAGGGATCTTATTCATTTACAAACATTCATTAACTTTTCAGAAAATAATACAAATAACTGGTTTCGTTGGCCCATTGTCCCACCTTGCCTCACAAAAAACTTAAAGTTTACAACAAAATTCGCTTAAAATGAATTTTTTACTTCATCTAAATTCTAATATTCTTATAAAATACACAACACACAAAGGAATAACAAAAGCAAAAGCTCGACTGAGATGAGAACCATTTTATGAATTCAATTTCAATTTGCATCACCTACTAACGATAAATTGCTACCAAAATAAGATCTATATTTTTATCATTAGATCTACAAGCCTGAAATATTAGTTTTAAAGTATTTCTTACGAAAAAATGATAAAGAACTTTTTCTATTCTACTACACCGATTTTGCAAATAGTTCAAATGCCTAAAATTTTTTTTATTACTCTATATAATACAAAATTGGAATAATATTAATAACTGATAAGAACCACAAATCGAAAAGCAATTGGTGCGAATGAAATAAATGTTTAAAGCATCAGAAAAGAAAAAAACCTGATCGAGATGTAAATAATGCGAAAAATAATTTCTTCACTCTATCCAACAAAGTAAAATAATTAATATACTGTGAAGAGATCATAAAAAACATCCAGATGAGAATAACAAAACCAGCCCTCGTCCTGAATAGAATTTTTAAGAGCAAATAAAAATATAGCAAGAAATTAATGTGTACTAAAATATAAAACCTTGTGCCAGTAAATGGCTTGAAAAAATCAAGGACAACTGATATTATAAAGAGAAGCAGCTTGAGAAATTCAACTAGAACATTAGCGCCAGTGAGAAGTATTGAACTGAATGCAGATTGTGCTGATGTTTCTGACCATTCTTTCAAGTTGCTTTCCAATCGAATCATCTAAAAAATCGTTACAAAAATTAAGTGGATAAAAATATATATTTTTGTTGATATCCCACATTTTATCAATAGTAGCTAGACTTATCACAAACTGATAAAAAATTTTGAACTTTGCTGAAAAAAAATTACCTTATTTTGCGTGCTTTCGATATTCTCTTCAATTGAGCAGAAGCGATCGCAATATTGGTAATCCATACGAGTACCAATCGTATTTAAATCAGCTTTCAGTGCTGTCATTTCAGCTTGGTGCAACTCTATAGTATCATTCAAAATTTCTTCTAATCTCTGAAAAAAATTTATTTGGTTCTTCTAATAATAACCAAATAAAAATTGCAAAATTCAAAATAAACGGTAAAAAAGCAAAGAACAAAAAAGAACATGAAATAATTAATTAATTTTAAGTTATTTCGGAAAGATTCGTACAAAAATCCAACTATTCATTCAAAAATTCTTAAGCCTGCCTGCGATTTGATACGTTCCTCATGAAGCGCACTATTGTAAAAACTGAATTCTGTTTTCATATGAGTCTGGAAAATCAGTGCTTTAAAATAATACAAAATATTCATCGCATCATAAAATCCCGTCTGATAGAACTTTCCCTTCTAAATAAAGCTGTTTCTCCTTTCAAAAGAAAAAAAAAGTGACGAAGAGACAAAAGATAAATTATTCAGTATTTCTGGTCAAGCTTGTTCCGTTTGCTGTTTATATGGTGCGAAATTTTATTCAAGAGGCAACTGGTGATAGAAATTTGGTAGAACCATTCGACTCATAGAGAAAAATTCATAAAAACTAAACAAAAAATTATAAAATATTAACCTGGATCTTTTCCAATTGTTGAACAAGAAACTGGTTTTGTAATTTCAATGTATTGATTTCTTCTTTGAGATCTGATAAATTGGCATTGGAATGAGTTAAGGATGAATCGTTATTCATCGAGATGGAAACAGGACCAGGCTGGATATCAAAAAAATTATCAGGGTTACCACGGAGGGATATATCAGCGAAATCCGCACCATCCGACTTCGAACGATCATTTAATAAACAATGATTATGCCTAAAATATTGAAAAGATATGAGAAAAATATTCAAAATCAACCAAATTTATTTTAAAAAGAATTTTAGAGAAAATAATATTTTAATTAAGAGCTTCGTTTTATTTAAAATAAAATTTAAAAATTAGATGTCTTTCATGCACCACACAACTGTAATCTTTTCCCATCCCATACTATTTGCCCACTATTTTACCGAAATAAATTTGATGCATGCAATCAAACATTTACCCTGACAGAAAAATAAAAGTTAAGCTAAATTTTTATTTTGTAACAGTCAGCTCTAAGATGAAAATTTAACCTCTCGCCGTTTTCAGTTGAACTCGCATAAAATATTGAATGACCAGCTGCACTATATTTAGCATTTGTAGAAATATTATCTGCAGAGCCTAAGGTATTCTTGATAATATGAGCAATACCTCGAGGAGCCGATATTACAGAGCCGGTCATTTCCCGCAAAAGAGGAGCAGTTCTCCTGAAAAAAAACTAATTTCACAAACTAATTTCGGTCAATAAATCGCTCTTTCGGATCACCTGCCACTCTCTTTATGAAAAAAAAATAGAAGATTTAAGAATTGACAAAAGGATTAAGAAATTAACCGTATATTATTGAGAACAGCTGCTCTTGGCGATGGTTGAACAACGATTCCCAATTCAAGTTCATTCAATCTACTTTGTAATTGTTCAAGTTTTTTCTATAAAAACAAATAAACATTATATTAAATTCTTGACTGAAAACAAAGAATTCGGTACCAATATTATAAGTAGACTATCAAGTCAAAACGAATCTAATAACATAGTTATTTACCAATGAGTTGCTCATATTGTAAAGGATGGGATAACAGATCCGTTTATTATAATTCAAGTATAACAGTATCCAGAGCACCGTAAATTCAGATTTAAGAAAGATAAATTTTTTAAAAATTATAATTTTTTTAAAAATTATAAACTAAATGACTTGTAAATGATCCATCTCTTGAGCATATTTTTTATTCTTTTTTTCAAAATGCTGGCGAACACGTATAAGTTGGGGATTTTCGCTTCCACTTTCCATATTACTAGCCACTGATAAAAAATCTTCGACATCACCTAAATAAAAATTACCGAATATTTAAAATAATTTTTTTTTTGAGAGTCCTCACCATTACTGGTTAAACTCGCTCCACTAGCTTGTTGCACAAGACAAATATGCCAGGGAGAGAATAGGCGACAGAAATATAGATGAGTCAATAGTATCACTCGGATTTTCGTACAGCTTTACTTCTGCAGGGAATCGAACCTCAGCATCGGCGCTCCCAATTGAACAACAACCCATTAAACCATTTAAAATAATAGGAAAAATAAATTCCAAAAAAAATCTGAATTGAGATGTGTCAATTTTGAATTTTTTTTTTAGTTTTTTAATTGCGCTATAAACCGGCGCCACAAAGAAGAAAAAATAAAAATTTTTCGAGGAAAACTCATTTCAGTTTTTTTTTTGAATTGTTTTCTGGTTGTAAAATTGCAACCATTGTAAAATTCTTTTACAACTTTACTATTACAAAATAAATTATTTTTAATTTCAATTACATTTCAAAAAGTTTATTGAGCAAGGCAAAATATCAAATAATATTCACTTTCTCGCCAATAAAAAATTATTAACTCTTATCAGAACTATCATATCAAATAAACAACCTTCACGAGCCAGTGATATTCGTGTGAGTTTCTCTTTAATCTTATCAATTTTTCTTTCAATCCGAATTTTTTCCTCGACATTTGAATCGTCAATATTTGAAGTACAACCATCCGACGATCGTACACTACTATCGAATCGTTCTGCATATTCCTTTAACTGAAAATTTTTACTTTAACAATTTTATATAACAAGTTTTTTTAATGAATTTTTATTTTTCCTCTATTTTTTTTAATGATTTTATTAAAGAATTAGTAAATAATTTCTAGAAGGAAAGTAAAAAAATAGGCACTTTTTAGTTGTTTAACGGCGTTTAAGAGACGGCGCCGATCGTTTAATTACACAAGTCTGAGAACCAATAGACGCAATTCAATTCAACTCTCGCGACAACGACAAGCGCACGACCTCGTGCTCATATACGAATAAAATCAACCTGGCAGAACACTAAGACAATCTTGCACGACAATCGACTGACAACTGACGATATTTAGTAAAATAACCGAAAAGTATCTATCCGAAAGCTTCAATTTTAACTCGTAGCAATAAGTTTTTTTATTTATTTAAAACAAAAAAAAAATTCGCTAACCTCGAACTGTTGAGATTTATTTAGTGCCATAATAATTTATTTATAAATAAATTTTCAATGAAAAATTAAAAGATGGAAAAATAAATAATAATAAATATGAATAACATTTTCTGAAAATTTATGCTGAATCAATGAAAAAAAACTCACAAAAAAATCGCTTTTAAAATAAAAATAACACAAATATGAGGGAAAACTGCCTTGGCTCTTATTTTCAACTTGGCCCTTGGCTTTAATTCACAATTTGGTCCTTGGCCTTAGTTCAAAATTGGAATTGACCTCAGCTTGGCATATTACTGAAATTAATGCAACAAATATCGATTTTAAAGTTGAACTAATAAAAGGTCAACGTTTGACCTTTCCAATGACACCTTACCTACGTTAATTTCACGAGTTTTATTATTTGAAAAATAAATAAAAAAATTCATTGGAAAGAAAAAATCCTCGAAAGGCCGCATTCTAGTTCAGATCGGTACTAAAAGTCGGATACAATATTTTGTACGATTTGCAGTATTATTGACCGTTTTTCCTTAAATAATCAATCATCCATACATAGTTTGGTTGTCATATCGGATTGCACCGCTTGGTACCATAGGTCACCGATTTTTCATACATCCTTTTTTTAATAATTTTTTTCTAAGAGCGCTATTTCTAGCTCGTTTTGCTGGCTCATTGAACTGCAACGTTGGCAATAATTTAGTTGGCACATTTTGCTATTTTTGAATAATAGAAAACTTTCCCTTTTCGCGGAGTTTAATTTCAGTATAGGTGCTCCAAACCCGCTAAGCCATCCTCTCATCTAATTTCTTTCCATGCGTGGATTTTTTCATTTTTCTTGTTTTTTTTATTAGAATAGAAAAGCTGTTTGCAGTTTTAAAATTTTTTTTTGAATAGATTTTTCGCTTTTTAATTTAATTATTGCAATTTTTTCCTTTTTCTAAATAGAATAAATTTTTTTTTTAGATTTTATCATTGAATTGATTATGTTTAAACTATTGCGAGACTTTATCGAATATTCGATCGCAATTTTAGCACATTTTTATGCGCATATGTTTCGACCAAATAATAAATCATTAACTACAATCGAAAATTTAAATCAATTATCACCATTAGTGTGGCGAATTCTTGGTGCAAATCCTGGACCATTCACTCTACAAGGAACCAATACGTATTTGGTTGGTAGTGGTAAAAGGTCATTCTTCTCTATTTGCATTTTTGATATTTTATTTTATATTTTATCATTGTTTTATATTTTATCTAATTTTTGTGGAACCAGTACGTATTTGGTTGGTAATGGTAAAAGGTTACTCTTTTTTATTTGCATTTGCATTTATTTAATATTTTTATATTTTTTTTATTATTATTTTATATGTTTTTATTATTATTTATTTTATTATTTATTTTTTTTGTTATTATTTTATCTTATTTTTATTTTTTATCATATTTTTACCATTCTTTTTATTTTTTTGTTTTTATATTTAAATATTTTTATATTTAAATTTTTAGTTTCTTAAATTTTTAGGATTAAATTGTTGTTTTGCAAGAAAACTTGTTCATCTTTATCGAAATTTCTTGAAAAGTTTTTAAATGTATTTTCATAGTCGATTTATTTTTGATTTATGGTTCGACCGGTAGTTTATGGTTCTTTTTTGATTTAAAATTATCGCTCTTTAATTTCTGGTTATCTGTCCACTTATATTATTTTTAGTTGACTAGTCTATAACAAGGTTGGCGTTTCAAATTGTCTTCCCATTTTTAGGTTTTCCCTTTAATTTTAGGTTATTGTTAATTTTAGGTTTTTATCAGCTTATATCTTATATTTCTGATTATTTAAATTTTAAATTTTCAAAATTAATTTCAAATTTTCAAAAATTGTTCTAGCCAAAAGTTTAGTTTTTATAGAGATTTTTTGATATGCGATTGAAATCATTCCTTTTTTTTTCATTTATAGACCAATATAGACTATAATAAAAACATTTTTTTTATATAATTAATCGATTTTTACAGTAAAATTCTAATTGATAGTGGCGAGCCAAATGTGCCTGAATATATAAATAATCTGAAAAAAGCACTTGGTGAAAACAAAATATCTTGTATAGTTTGTACTCATTGGCATCGTGATCATGTTGGTGGTGTTCCAGATGTTATACAAAAAGTGATAATTATTCTAATTCAAAAATAAATACTAGTTTCGAATCAGAAAATTGAAAACTAGAAATCTTAAAAATATTTTCGTGGAATTTTTGGCGAATATATAAGCCTGATTTTTGGAATATTTTTGGATTATTTCATATCTTTTTCATTAGTTTTATTTGATAGAATTATATGATTCGTTATCGCGAGATTTCACAATTTCAACTTTCAGTTTTAATTTTTAGTTTAATTTATCGACTTCAGGTAATTGGTGAGAAAGTGCCTGTTTATAAATTCAAGCGAGATGATGCTGTTGAAGATTCTTCCTGTTATACATTTGTAAATGATGAGCATATTCTTTCAACTGCAGGTGCAACTTTGAGGTGTTAAAATTTATTAATTTTTAATCTGATTTAATTTGATTTGAATCTGTAATTCGAGTATTTTTTTAAATTCCATTTCTATTTTACCTTAAATCTTTGAAAAATTTTTTTTTCGTTTATTTTGTAGGCTTTTTTTCGATTAGTTTTTATGTTTTTTTTATTCCAAATTTTTATCAAACTATTTGCATAATTTTTGCCGAAATTTTTTTCTATTGTAGATTAGAAAAAATTAGCTCAATTGTTTATCTGCTGAAAACATTTAGATTGATTGGAACCCCGGGTCATACGGTGGATCATATGTCCATATATCTGGAAGAAGAAGGTTCGTTATTTAGTGGCGATTGTATTTTAGGCGAAGGCTCGACCATATTTGAAAATTTACATAGCTATATGACTTCACTTCATAAATTGCTCAATTTAAAACCGAAACGGTATTTTTTCTTATTAATTTAGCAAATGACTATTGAAATAAAAATTATTGAATTACCTGCTTATAATAATTGATTATTTGTAATCGATTGTTCATAAACAGTTAATTTAATTAAACAATTAATTTAATTAAACAGTTAATTTGGGAGAGTGGTTCAGTGGGTTGTTGCTCAATTTGAAGCGCCAATGCTGAGGTTCTACTCCTCACGTGAGTGAATTTGTCCAAAAATCCATGTGATGCTGGTAATTCATTTTTATTTCTGTTGCTGAGGGACTTCTTGGCATATTTGCCTAGTGCGACAAGCCAGCGGAGCGAATCTAACCAATAATGGAGAGGGCTCTAAAAAGATTTTGTATTATATTGATTTATTTTTGACATTTCTTTTTACTTCATGCTTTTTTTGTTTTTTCTAAATAAAGCCTGGTTCGGCTTTTTGTTTCTGCTTGTTTTTTCGGCCATAAGGTACCTATTTACATACTGGTTACTCATATTATTCTATTAAGCTCTGATTTCATTACTGCCACAAAATTGTGTTAAATTTGAATCAATAGGATAATCTTTTTTTTGCGGTTTCAGATGGAGAAATTGTTTATGCATTAAATTCATTGAAAAATATTTTTTCTTATTCGAATATTTTTTGAGCAGAAATTCATTTTTTATGAAATTTATAAATTTATTTATAATTTATAAATAGCAATCTTCCATGTTTTTGCGTCCTTTGGTTCTTTTTGCTCCTTTCCTTTATTTATTCATTCTCTTCGCTTTTACTGTCTATGTTATGAAGTTATTGTTTCGTTAAGGAACTGATTTATTATTTTGGCAAAAGGAACCAGATAATTATATTTCTGATTTTAAATATTTCAGAATTTATCCTGGTCATGGTCCTGTAATTGAGGAACCGTTGGAGAAAATCGGTAATTACATAGAACATCGTAATAAACGTGAATCCGAAATCTTAGAAGCATTTAAGCAGTCGGATTCTCCATTATCAATGATGGCAGTAACGAATATTGTTTATAAAGTAAATTTAAAGTTTAAAATTTTTCTTTATTTTTTTTCGATATTCACTTTAATTTACTGGGATAAATTTGCTTTAATTTAGAAAGTTTTTTTGAAAAACTTCATCATTCATTGTTTTCTAAAAATATAAATTATAGGATCTTCCTATTCATTTGAAGATGGCAGCTATAAATAATGTGGAACATCATATCAAAAAATTGCTAAAAGAAGAAAAAATTGAAAAAATTGGCTTAAGCGGTTATCGCTTACTTGCTGTTGAACCGCAAACGAGTAGAATGGATTCATAGGCAGATTTTATCCTTGATTTATCCTGGATTACAGGATTTTATAATTAGTGATTAAATATATTTTTGAAGTTGATATTGCTAATATTTATATTTTGCAATTATATTTTATTCATCTTTATTCGAGCACAATGTATATAACATTACTCATTCATTAGTCAAAATCGCATATTTTGAGTCGAAGAAATTTGTCTTGGCGTGAGTGGCAACTGATGTATCATTGGGAAATCCCATTGTGCATTATGCATATTTGTCGAATCAAAATGGTATTCGCATATGGATTTTCTTATGTCGTCGAAGACTATTTGAAGTATTTTTGTAACTGCTTAGCATAATTATATTATTTGAAGTAATATTATATTAATTATTTTTTGCATTTATTTTTTTTCAAATTTTTCATGGAAATAAACTTTTTGAATCTACTGTAAGTTCAGATCATTTTAAAATTTTATATAATTTTTATAAAATAGGATAGTTGAGAGGTTATTGTTTATCTTGTCACCTCGAATATCAAGATTCGAATCTTAGCTGTTATATGATAATAATAATAGAGAAAATGACATGTCATTAAAAAATCCGGATGGTGCTGAGTGGCTCAACTATATTCTTCTATCATTAAATGGTTCTTCCTTTAGCGAAAAATTTTTCTCACCATATTAACAATTAACAGTTATTAACAATGAACCAGTGAACCTAACCAGGAATGCTAAAAGCTAATCGCATATTTAAAATAAAATATTCTATAAAAATTGAATTTCAATTATATTTGGAGTAGTGAAATTTGTGTGGAGAGTTGTTCTTCATGAGTATAACGAGAGATTTTCCGCATGGTAAGATAGAGTGGCTCAGTGGGTTGTTGCTCAATTGAGAGCGCTGATGTTGGGGTTCGGTCCGCCGTTGGAGTGAACATGTACAAAAATGCGAGTGATGCTGGCCGCTCACCTGTATTTCTATCGCCAATGGACTCCATATGTATAGTTACTGAATTTAATTTAGTTATTACTTAAACTTGAAGTTTCTTATCATGAAGGCGACTGAATTGCCATAATTACGACTGAATATAGTACAATTAATATTTCTTGTTATAATATTGGTATTTTTTTAATAGAAAAAGTGCATTTAAAAATATAAAAATGGGATTTAAAAATATTAGAATATAAATTTTTCAAAATTATTTTATTTCTTTAGCCTATTTTGTAAGAAATCTTCAATATGCTCTTAAAATGATAAGTAAAGATGCGCAATTTTTCCACAATCACAATTTTGAATTCGAAATTATAAATTATTATAAATTCTCTTCTTACTTCAGATCAACTTTATATAACCTTAACTTTAACATTTTCAGTTGTCTAAAATAAGAAAACCGTCTTAATTAAGACTTATTTATTGGTAAAATAATATTGGTCAAAGTACAGATTGGATCTGACTTGTTTTTTTAATCAGCGATTTGTTAAGGATTTATATAGCTCGTATCGTCTCGATTAAACATCGATGTCCACTTTTGCAATAAACCTGCCATTGAAAAACCCGCATGGTGCTAGGAGTCCACCTGCTTTTTTATCTCAATAATTCTCTAGAAGCTGCCTCCGTTAACTAACAACCAATATGACGGCCCTAACCAGAAGTGACGAATGCCAACCACTTACTTTAGCTTCTTTTTTTCTGATTATTTGAGTAGAGTGAAGAGGTGAGGTATTTTTAGTATAAGATCACCATATCAGTATTTTTTGCCAATTAAGCCATAATTTCACTATTTTTTTCTCAAAGATTGCTGATTTCTAATTTGCTATTTGCCTTTTGTGTATATCAGACTGGTTGCTACTGTTCGTAACACAGCTACAATTCTACTTTTTCTTTTAAGCGACTTTTTCATTTGGATATCAAATTATAATAAAGAATTATAGAATTATAAAAAAATCACCACGAATAGGTTATATAGCCTTGTTGTAGTCTTTAGCATAATTAGCAAAATATCAGCTAAAACTAACAATTAATTATTATCAATTTATCATTTTTCCACTTAAATCTACTTCACATCTGTATAGAGTAATGTCTTATGCTAAGAAGTTCATCATAAATTTAGATAGAACTTCTTCCGCTGACCAGATAATCGCAGACAAAAATGTCCAGATATCAGAATAGAAATGCCTCGGCATTAAAGATTGAAGTGAAATCGTATCAGTGAGATGGATGCTGGAATGAGGACAGATCGACTGAAGGCCAAGATTATTTTCTATCAAACTCATTACGCTGTTTTATTGGAATAGACAAATATGCTACGAAGTCCACATCGATAGAAATACAGGTGAGTCAGCAGCATCACCTGGTACAAGCTCACTTTTGAGGGGAATCGAATCTCAGTATCTGCGCTCTCAATTGAGCAACAACCCACTAAGCTATCCTATACCCTATAGATTTTCATTTAATATATTCGATTATTTAAAAATTTTTTTATTATTTTTAATATCGAGAATGGAAGATATGTGAATAGTTTAGTTTAATATTTTTAATATTTTATATGATAAAATTGTGATAAACAATTATGATAAAGCCTGCGAAATAATATTTTAAAGGTAAATAAGATAACCTTTTTGTGACCAAAATTTTAATGAATATATGAAGAAAAATTTTAATATTTATATTTTTTATTTTTTATATTTATTATAAATATAAAAAATAAATAAAAAATAAAAAAATATTTTTTATATTTATTATATACTTTTTTTATATTTATTATTTTTTATATTTATTATTATATTTATATATTTTTTATATTTATTATATTATATATTTATTATAATATTTATATTTATATTTAATATTTACAGAAATATTTCAAAACAACAATAATAATATGAATTAGTGGTACTTAAATTTCATTTTCATATCCACGTAGATCAATTTCAAATTCTTATAGCTGAAAAAAAGCATTTGCCAAAATGCTACAATAAAATTTCCTCAGGCAATAAAATTTATTATTATCAATAAGCAGCTAATAAATTTTAAATTTTAAATTTTTAAAAATTTTAAAGCTTACGAGCGTTTTTAAGCTAAGCAATCGAAAATTTTTCGAATTTTTTTTTCAATATTATAATTTTCATTTTAAAATTATCATTATTGTAGCAAAATTTTTGCTAATTTTCTTATTAATAAGGATAATTTACATTTACGAAATCAATGCAAGGAATTTCATAGTTTTTTTCTGGGAATATTTTCCTGGAAATCTTCTTTTATATTTCCTGAAATTTCTTTAAATTCTTATTGTTATTAATGTTGTTATCAGTTATCACTATTATTATTATCTATTATTATTAATTATTATTATTACTGTCATTATTATTCTACAAAATAATTAAATTTGGAATAGTTTTACAAGAATAAATAAAATCGAGTCGTTTTTTTCGTGTAATACATTCGATTTTTGCAATTCCATAATCACAACGATGACAATAAATTCTGGAAAGTAAAACTTCTCGACTAAACAGCAAAATTAAACGCTCAGCATTTCTGATTTCGATTTGTTCTGAAATTTTTGCGGAAATTATTACTTTGCTATGCGAATACAAATGGTTCAGCAGTATCAATACGACACTGATAGGTTTATTCTTGTCATCTACTTGAATTTTACTCGTCAAAACGATAATTTGAGTCATTATTGCACCTCTACTACGACACTGTAATAAATATAATTCGTAAAATATTTTATAGAAAATATTTTCATTTATTATTATTATATATTGTTGATTTTAAAGAACTGGTATTTATACTTATTTATATTTTATAAATAATTCTTTCCGTTGGCATTGATCAAAAATTCGATGAATCAAATGCGTTAGTTTTGGTTGAATTATTGCCCGATGTGACACCACCAGGCGGTTGGTTCGTTTCGCTCGATCGATCATTGTCGCCATGTTCGTTTTTCTTATTATTGTAGTTCTATTACAATTAGTAATAACGGAAAGTCAATGTAAACGTTGGACAGAAGCCGATGAGGAACAACGAATTCGTCAAGTAAATATATATGAAAGCTTTTCTTTTTTCATCGAATTATTTATTTGATTTCTCATTAATTAAATGAAATAAAAAAGTGAAAAACGATAAAAAACGATAAAAAGAAAGAATGTTGTTGCTTCTCGTTACATAATGAAAGAGAATTTGAAATTATTCTTTGGAAAAATTGCAAATTTTATAATATGATAAGATGTGAATTTAAATTATCATAAATTATCACAGCTGATAAATAATAAAAAATTTACAATTATGTCGTAAATTTTGACAGTCTTCCTATTCTTTTTTTCCAATAGCACACTAATCATTGCTGATTTGATTGACTGTTAAAATCAGATATCTTTGCCAGAGAAAGTCACGCGGCAACTGAGCTTCAAGTAAGTTCCAAACTACATAAAACACTGGACTAAATTAATGAACTGATTATTCGTTTAGATATGAATATTGCTATTTAGCATTTCAGGTTAAACTTTTTGCTCATTTACCTAGTGAGATTGATGTATTGCAATTGCAATTTTTAATTCTTACCTTAATTTAATTCTTACCTTATCAAAAAAAATTTTTTTACTATTATTTATTGTTTTTTGAATTTAAAATTTACTAAAATTCAATTTTTTAGTTAAAAGAAGAAGAATTATTAGCGTACGAACAAGAGCAACAATCACAAATGAGGATCAATACAAAATTTAGACGAACCGAAAGTACTGAAAATTTCCTACTTCCAGAAATAGGTGCAGCTACAGTTCATTCCAACGCATTCATTCAACTTAAGGAAGACAATGGTTGATATTTTCAAACTGTTGTAATTACTAGCCTTCTAATTTATACGATAATTTATGGTACTAAGGAAATGAACTATTAGCACGTTTCATTCCTGATTATAGGTTCGCTACATTGATTATTAATAGGGGAATTTTTCCAGGAAATCATTTAAGAATTGAAGTACACGTTTACTTTTAACAATACTCGAGTGCTTTTTAATGATAGGTTTATTTCCAGATATTAAATTAAGCTTGAAACAATAATTTAGGCAGTAGAAATATGGTTCTATTGCCGCTTAATAATGAATTTAGCAAATGTTTTTTTTACACTTTTTAACGAATTATATTTTCGTTGATTAACAACGAAATTTTAAGAGAATCATTTATCATTCTCTGCAAAAGAAAACTTTAAAATTTATAAGGTGATAATTGGTGTTATCATTGTGCGACACCATTAAAAGCGCTTAACAGTGATATGCGACGAGCCGTTCAAACATTTTTAACTCTTCGTCGAACTACATATCCGATTAATGCGATAAGTGCTTATTGTTCTTCGCCAAAAAATATATCTGATTTCACAAAAGAATTATGTCGACATCCTTATTGTCAAACTTTAATACTTACTGATCACGAAACAGGTATGAAAAACGAATAATTTTTGATAAAAATTTTAAAATTTCAATTTATAATTATATAATTATAATTCAATTATAATTCGAATTTTATAATTATAATTTAAAAATTTCATTTTAAATTTATTAGTAAGAAATTTTAATTTTTAATAAAATATTAAGTATTATTAATAAATAATATTAAATAAAAATTTAATTATTTTATTGTATTCATCTTAATTCATTTTTTATTAAATTATTTTTTATAATGCTTAGTGCTTCTAAATTTCAGCATAGTAAATTTGAAGATGCAACACATTTATAATAAATTATCCGTTCGTTAGGTTTTTTTAGAATCTGAAATTTTTAGCAAATAAAATTTAAACCATTTATTGCAGGCACATCATTTACAATTCGAGGATGTGCAGAAACATTTGGTGCCATTAATGAAAAATTATTGAATGAAAGGGGTGATAATAAGTGTCAAAGGTTTTATTTAAGTACAAACAGATTGTCATTAATTATATTTCCTCAAAATTTCCGATTTTGCAAGTGGTATGGTATAAGTGCATCATTTCCAGTTAAACTTTCGATTGCCTGAGAAACGGGTTGTTAGCACTATTTGAATTTGACACGTTCACTGCTGTCAAGGCAGAACCTATGATGCTTGTCGTGAATTGAAGGAAAAAGAACCATATCACTTCACTATCCTTATCCTCGGCTGTCGGTTTTATGGCTGTTTTTAAACAAATTTCAAATAATCTTGGCTCGAACGTCTGATCTTGACTTCATAATATAATGGTCTGGAATTTGCTCCTTTTTGATTAGTGATTATTAACAAATATGAATAGATACCTCATTTCGACTCATCATTACTAGCAATTTTCAGGTTACACGATCAATTAGATATTCAGGAATGTATTTGTAGCCGTAGGAAATATTGTTATGCGGGACCTGATCGAATTTTATTTTCCGGTGTTCCTTCTCTTATCTCTTTTTTAACAGTTTTAATATTATCGATATTTCTGTTATTTTTATGATAATAAAAATTTTTCTTAAATTCTCTCTTATAAACTAATCATGAATAAATGGATTTTTCCCTAATTAGACAACAGAATTAATCTTTACGAGAACATTTTTAAATATTTTTAGTTTTTCATCAATAAAATTCTAAACCAATCATAAAATATGAATTATTTAAGGTAAAATAATTTCAAACTTATCATTCATTTAATCAAAAAAGAATAAAAATGGATTTTCTAAAATTTTTTTTCTTGTTTATCAGTCAAATCATGGAAAAGACGAGTTCGAGCTCGAGCTCGAGATATGCTTCTAACATTTCATCTATCACAGCTCGAGCTTTTTCATCATCCTTCATCTATCAGAGCCTATTGATTTTATTATTTACTTCATGTTCCCTTCATTATTTTCGTTAATCTTAATTTTTTTTATTTTGTTCCGATTTTTCAGTTGTCCTATTAATAATAGAAATGTCAAAAAGAATTATTCATTATGAAAAAAAATCGCAGATATTTTTTTTGCTTTTAAGTGCAATAAAAATGTTTATAAAGTAGAGGTTAGAAAACCAAAACAGGTTTTAGGTGAATGAAGAACACTGTTTTTTTTTCTCATTTAATAATGAAACCATCCAAAGACGAGATGTCTATCCATGATTTTAATTTTATGGTTAAACTTAAAATTTAAGCATTCCTTTTTTTGTTATAAAATTTCTTCAAAAATATTCATTTTCCTTTTCCACTGTAAATTATTGAAGAACGAATACAAATAGGATTTTTTCAAAAAAAAATTAAGAAAAAATTAAAAAATCCGAGAGAAATTTAATTTTTGGAATTCAATCCATCAATCCATTTGAATAATTTTTTTTTATTTTTTATTTATCTTATTTATGTAAATATTTTTATGTAAATATTTTTTATTTTTATTTATCTTTTTAATACGACGATTTATTCAATCATAAAAATATTTTAGTTCTTCGTTAAATATTTACGGAATATGACATTGTAGTGTTTACTTTGTATTATTAGTTAACCATCATTTCCGGAAGGATTCGTTTCACTGATTATTAGTAAATAGGATGAGGAATTCATCACGCTTGAGAATAGAAATCTACCTGAGTATTTTTTTTTACTAATGATAGCTTCAGGCTTCGATTATATCTTATCATATCTCTTATATCTATATCTTATCATTATTATTATAAAATGTGCGATAAAATTATCGCTATTAGTACCAATATTTTGTTAAAAACCTGTATAGTTCATATAATTTTTAGAGATTAGAGAAACTGTAGAAATCGTTTTTATAGTTGATTAATTTCCCTGTTTCGTTTAATTTCTTTATTTTTTCCGTTTGAAGAAATATATTTCTGAAGAAATTTTCAATAATTCTACATTATTTAAGGGATAATATTATCTCATTAATCATAAATTATAGTGGTGATAATGTTGACTATAATAAATGTGATCATTTATTATGTTTTGGAGTTAGTCAAATTCAAATCATTTCATATATACTTTAATCTTTCAAGTTTTAATACTTGATAGTTTTGAAGGTAGAATAGCCAAATGACTATTTATAATTATAGTATTAAGGTTCAGATTTTGCCTCCGGCGTGCCAAAATCTGCGATTGAAAATCACATTTAAGAAATAATATTTTTTAGATATTAACATTTTATTTCAATAAAAAATTAGAAAATATTAAAATATTCCATTTTTCATCTATTTTACTGGAAATAGAAAACTGCCTGAGGGTTTAACGATATTTGAAAAAAATTTAGATGAAATGAAGAAGTCAAATATTGAAATATAATTCATTTTATAAAAATATCCACCAATATTAGAGCAATAACGAATCGATGAAACCAAATATACAATCGAACCACTCCAACGTGATCGATTCTTCAGCTAATAACTATCTTTCCATGGTTATTTTATGGATTTGAAATTTCCCCCTAATATTTTTGTTTACCCAGTTTTTTTTTTTATTATCATGTTCACCACTTCAATTTGTTTAAACATCATATTTAATCTTTGAAAATTTCATAGTTCTCTACTAATTTTTATTATTTATTTATACATTAAAATAAATAATTGTGCTTGTGTTGCTTAATTTAGAAAGAAAATAGCGAAAATGGCATTAAAAAGTTTAAAAATTTTCTTATTAGTTTTATCTTTTTCTTCACAGTTATGATATGATAAAAGATTTGATTTATGTGGATTCATTGTTGAGAAAAGATTTAATAAAATTTCGTTTTGAAGAAATTTGTTGTAGGGGTTCATAACAAAACAAACCAATAAATTAAAATGAAATTGTTAAAAGAAAAATTTCCCACCTCCGTTTGAATAGTTTTATTTCGTCTAAATATGAAGGCTAAGCCATTTTCATAGTATCAATTCCTCATTCCTTATCTTTAAAAGTAAAATTACAGGTTATCATTTAAAGTAGTGATGGAATAGTATTTCTTAAATGGTACTTTTTTCATTATCACCATAAAAAGAATTTCTATTCATCGCAAAAATTCGTTTTATTATGAATATGGAATTTTTTAAAATTTTTTATCCATTATATTGTCATTATCATTATCAGTGAATTATCTGTAATAATTGGCGATAAACCAATTTTATTTTATTTTTTCTTCATGAAAAATTTCTAGAGTTCTCGAGTTTGATTTAAAATGTGAATGTGATGTGTACTTGGAAAAACTGGTAAAATTACGTGCATTAATTGAAGAATATACTGAAACTAATTGTAATGGCTCCTCCTAAGCTCTGTGATATATCCGAAATTCGACCTTATTTGTTTCTTAGTGGATTTGGTTGCGTTACCGAAAAAGTAAGTAATAATTATTCAATATTTTATTGTTAAAACGAAGAAAAGAAAATTTTTCATTTCAGAAAGAAAGTAATTAATTTTTCTTCGCATTCAAAAATTTTCTTAAAATAAATAAAAGAAGACAAAAGAAGAAAGAAAATATAGCATTAAAATTTTATGGGAAAATCGTTGCTGTAGAAGAAGATTTATCATCCATTCATTAATTTTTCGTTATCATAAAATTTTTATAGTGCTTTTGTTCCGGATGGTGCTGAAAGCCCATCTATGTTTTTTGCTTTAAGTGATTGCGTGTAGCGAATCGTTATCAGCTGAACCAACCAAATCACAAATGGTTAACGCTATGATAAGAAGAAAAAAAAAAATAAAAACTCGGGATTTCTTAAATCCGAATTTAAACATCATAGATATATTTTTTAGATTTAACTACTTATAAAATTAATTACTACTTAAACTAATCTATTATAAATATAAAATAAAAAAATGATAAAAATATTTCTCAATAATTAAAAAAAACCACTAAGGGAAAACATAAGCCTCTATTATTTTTATTAGAAATTATCGGAACGTGGAATAAATTTCGTCATTAATGCGACCAATATTCCAAGAATACGGCAAATAGAAAATGTTGAATATCTTGATATTCCTGTGGATGATAACGCTATAGCGAATATTTCCAGTTATTTTGAGCAATCAACCGAATTCATCAAAAATGCAAAACAGAAGGTATTCAAGGAATTTTTTTGTTTGCCACTGATAAAATTTGGTCATCAGTTTTTTCCGTTTTAATTATAATAACTATATAGCAAATAATATAATAAATGATAAATGTAATAAATAATAATATATATTAATAATAATATAATAAACACAAATAATAATAAATAAAAGAATAAGTATAATATATAAGTATAAATATATTTATTTATTTTTTATTTTTATTATTTTGTTATTATTTTCATTATTTATATATATCTTCTTTATATATATATTATTATTTATATATATTTTCTAACTCACCATTAACTGGTTAGGCTGGCTCTACTGGTTACAAGGGTAAGACGTATCCAAACTGCTCGGTCCGACGCTATCGCTAGTAGTAATAGAAGCCATTCTTTTTTCCATCGTCTAAGTCCATTATATCGCTGATCCCCCTATACGTTCAAAATTTTTCCTATCAGTCTCAGTCTCAGTCTAGGTTTATGATAAAAATATATTAAATGTAATAAGAAATATATATATGTATAATGATATCGATATTTTTCCTGAAAAAAATGGTGAATAACCAAGGAATAACCCAATAATTGAACAATTATTTTGCTAAATGACCATAACCATTTTTGATTATAGAAGTATCTATTCATTATTATTTATCAGTAGAGAGAAATTGATGATAATTCGATCAGCAATATTTTTGTGGTAAAAATAAAATTGTAGAATTAAAGATGGAAAACAAACGTGGTAAGATGGGATTATAACTTAGTGGCAAGACAACTACCACCGAAAATAAAGACTAGGTTTGAATTTCTTTTTGTCAGGAGGCAATAAGGTCCCTAAACAAAGGAAATTAGGGGCTTAGCACAGTAGCAGAGTGGGTTGTTATCCAGTCCGGTATGCCGATGTTGAGGTTCCATTTCTGGTTTGAACAAACCTATCCTTCCGGATGATTCACCTTTATTTCTATCGCTATGAACTTCCTGAAATATTTTTAAAGCCCGATAAACCAGCGAAGCGAGCTTAACAAGCAATGATAAATGCTTTAAAAGAAAAAAATTCCATTAAATCGCAACAATTTTTTTAATCACTTGGATAAAATAATATTGTTGATTGAAATAGCTGTTTATTTGATATTTTATCAACAGATGATCAGGTAAAATCTGTCAACACATTCGATTCTCTTTATAACTAAAACATTAACCTGTCCACTTGCACCGAATAAATCAACGATATTCAGGGTGGTAAAACTCTTGTTTATTGCGCTGCTGGCGTAAGTAGATCAGCAACAATATGTATTATCTATTTGGTAATGGATGAAGGATTAACGCTTCGAGAAGCGTACCATGACGTTGTTCAACGACGACCATTCATCTCACCGAATATTGGATTTTGGCGACAGATGATTGAATTTGAAGAAAAGCTAAGGGGAAAAAGTAGTGTAAATTTATTACGTGGAATGAGGAGACCTGTTCCCGATGTTTATTTGGTTAAACCCGCACCTAACGAGGAATTGAAGGACTCTTTTTCGATTGGTTTTTCAACTTAATTTTAATTTTAGCAATTTTTTTACCTCAACACAATTTTCATTTAGAATGTATTTTTTTTCCTAAAAATTGGTTACAATAAAACTTAAACACTTCATCTTCACTGAAATTTATTTTTCCTGTTGCATTTGAGCATGATGTCTGAGGCCAACGATTAGACCTGTGATAATGAGGTTCCAAATGATGAGAATTTTCTAGAATCTATAGCATGTCGTCTTCTTATTTGTTTTAAGAAGTGGTTCTTTGCTATATATAACAGATAATTTGCACGTATTGGAATAATCATAAAAAATTTTTAGAATTAATAAAATTTTCTAAAATCAGCACCAGTTTTTTTTTTAATAACATGAATTTGATAAAAATTACTCGAGTTCTTATGATAAATAAATCGAAAATTGTGACACATTATTTGAATTAAATATTTATTTACAAATTCATGGTAAAGCAATTATAAATTTCCAGTTTTGAGAGAACTTTTTTATAATTTCTTCCTTAAAAATTTTCATTTTCTCGATAATTCGATAATTTGTTCAAAGTTTAATGTAAATAAATGCATAATTTTAATTTCGTGCAAATTGATTTCACTTCGTAAATATTCGAATACATTTAAAGAAAACTTTTTGTTATCACTTAATAATAGAAATATGATAATTAGATCATCAACACTATCTGAATGATAAAGGGAATAAAAAAAAGTGATAATTTCATTATTTGTTTTATTTGTTTATTAATATTAGGCTTATCGCTTGTATCCTCCTAGATAATTTTTTAAATGATAAAATGATAAAAAAGTAAATAAATACGTGATTTATAAAATACATAAATTATATATATTTGCACTTGAATATATGAAAGTTCGCATTTTGGCAATTAATATTTCGAAGCAATTTGGTCGAATTGTTCATAGTTTCTTTAGATTTATCTTCAAGTTCAAAGGCGATGATAATTTTATTTCTATTAATCATATTTTTTTATTAAATTAGTCATTGGCATAAAAAATTAGATTAATCTGTCTACAAAAAGAAAAAATTTCGATTGATAGATATAAAGATTAGTCGCTTATTTTACTGCAAAGATTTGGGTTTCGTATGCGTTCGTATGAGAAATAAAATGTGAAATGGAGAAGGGTTCAGATTAAATCCATTTGTGATGGAATAATCACTAAAAAATTTTACTGCTATTGGCTGCTTAAATGATTCTTTGCTTGAAATTTCTAAGCCTAACCAAGTAATCGTAACAATCAAAAATCATAAGCACTTTCAAAGATTTGTGTTCAATTATTTATGTTTCTTTGATAAATGCATCAGCTCAGCCTTATTGCCAAAATATTAAAATATTCCTGATTTTCGAATGAAAATATTTTTATTTAATTATTTATTTTCATTCATTATTATTTTCGAATGAAAATATTTTTATTATTTAATTTTTAAATAATGAAAATATTTAAATATTCTTGAATGTCGTTATTTACTTTATTGTTTTTTTCTTGTAATAAAATAAATTTAAATAAAAATAATAATGTAATCATATAAAAATATTCCTGTAAAATCTGACAAATAGAAATTTTCTTTTGTAAATTAAACTTAAATTTTATAAAAGGATTTAATAATAAAATTTTAAAATAAATTTATACACAACTAGGGACAAATAATATAAAAGTGTTTAACTTTTTGCAACTTTTTTTACACATTCATCCTTAAAAATTTTTTTCTGATAAGTCTTAACAGTTGGTAAATTATTGGAAGAGATACGATAGGAATTTTAGCCAGAGAATCAATCGGAGATATAAGTACAATTGGATCTCTAACATCGCCTGGATTTTTTTTTTCAGTGATCAGTTTATTCTTGCCAAGAAAAGAGATAGAGGGGTAAAGTTTGGTAAAAAGGATGGTAATCCTTAAATAATTGATAAAATAAATAATAAATAATTAATAAAGTTTGAGACTCCTAGGATATTTTAAATATATTTAAAAATACATATCTTAAAATACATATCTTTTTTCTATTTTCGAAATACAAAAAAAAAATTAATGGAAATTTAAAAGACAGAGTAAAAGTGCGAAAAAAATCCAACAACGTCATAAAATTGATGATAATTCAGGTGAGTGCCACGAGATCGACAATAAACTTAAAGATAAAGAAATGCGATAGATATTTGCGTAAAGATTCTGGCATGCAAAAAATTTGAGTAGGTTGACTTGGTCAAGGTCTATGAAAAAATACGCAAATATCTATGACATAATATTTTTTTTTTTAACACAAAATTTTATCAAATTGTTCAATCAATTTATCAAATTTCTTATGAATCGATTTATATTTGTATATAAATAAAGTATATTCTCATTTCACGTCTCTACATTCAAAACTCATTCTTATGGCCTTAAATTTCGATTTATCAGATTTTTCCAGTGAACCACAAAAAATCTCTTATCATGATAAAAAAAAAAACTGTATTTTAACATCGTTCTATTTAAAGATTTTGCATCATTTTGAAGAAATAATTGTACCCATCATTAAAATTTCATTGTTTCGTATGTTCAGTCAGCCAACTAAATGAGAAATACTGATAATTGTTTAATTTTATCGAACACAAACGAAAGAACGCGAAACGAAGAAACCTTTTGCAAATAATGATTTGGAGAGATAAATAGGCACGAAGAGAAAATATTAAGAGAGTATGGTCGATGAATGGAATCTACTCGGTTTATTTGATCATCGTCATTATCGTCACCGCACCACTAACACCATCGTCGACAACAGCAATTGCAACGAATCATTCGGTTTTTGCAATCTCCTCAATCAGATACACCTTTAATCAAATCGCTATTGTCGTCATACAAAAATCTTATTTTTTTCTATTTCATTAGTTTATCAAATATATTATTAATGAGAATATTTTCATATAAATATTCATTTCAAATCAAATGAATTTTTTGTAAAAAAAAGAAAAAAAATTTATTATTATGGGAAGACGACGATATTTTCGTTCACAAAATTATAAACGCTTAAAGGCAGATTGTGCAAAGAAGAGGAATCTCTTCGTTGATATTCAATTTCCACCAACGAATGATTCGTTATTTATAAATCCTCATGAACAAAATGCGAATATTATTTGGAAGCGTCCTTCTGTAAGTTTCCTATTTCTTTTTATCGAAAAACTATCATTTTGAGTTTCGACGATTATATTAATTTCAACTCGATCGGAAATTTTTTGCCAGGCGAGTGACTTTTTGGCAATGGAGAAGAATCACCGTATTTTTTAATAGCAGATTTCTTTCTTTCTATCGAAAAATAATACAAGAATATCTACTTTAATCTGCTATAATATTATATAAGCAGTCGGCATTTTTAGAAAGAGATGGAAAAATTTTTTGAGAAAACAGGTTTAGTTGACATATTAGCTTGGAACTATACCGCAGAAATTAGAAATATACCGTTCTTCCGTCTGCTAAGAAATCCATGCAAAATCACCATCTTTCTAAACAAAGCTTTCTGTTTGGCTTTAATGCATACATATAAAAAATATGGCTAATGAGAGTCGACGATATTAAAAAGCGATTTACCTATAACCACTCAAGTTTAGGGTAGCAAATTCTAGCCGAAAAAAGCGTTACATAATTATTTTATTCTGTGCTCCGATATCATCTACGTTAATAAATGTCGTGACACAACGTCGCTGACCCTAATTAGGCTACGTTTCGCAGCCTATCGTAGAAATAAACCTTTCTTCTTTTCACTATTTCGGAATATTCCCATAGTTCTTCAATGAATACATTTAAAAGTCGTTTCTGGAAGTTAAAATAATAATAATTGTATTCGAGGATATAAAATTGAACTCGTGAAAAATTTTTTACTCTTTTATATTCGTCGAATGGTAGTCTTTGCTTCAATTAAAATTAAACCAAATAATTATAATTATAAATAATTATAAACCAAATAACAATTCCTTCTATTCCTTTTATATGACAAAAATGAACGAAATGTCATGCCACTCGTATCGAAATTCTATTTACTATTAAAGGATTAAATACTACTAATTTATTAAAAATTTACTCATTTTTTAGATTCGATTAAGAAAAAAAAATATTTTCTACTATAATTTTAGATTGCAATATTATTTAGGAACTCGTGAATAATCCAAAATTATTCGTAGAAGGTGCATCGGCTAATGATGTTACACAGGGAATTCTCGGGAATTGTTGGTTTGTATCTGCTTGTTCAGCACTAACTCATAATGAAGCATTATTAAAAAAGGTTGATGCCAAATTTTACAATTATATTTTCCTACTGCAATAATATATATATGAGAAAAATTAATATAAATATTCTTATATAAAAATATAAATAATAAAAATATATAAATATTCTTGAGATATACATCTTTTTCTCTTAAAATATATTAAATGAAATGGAATTATTGAGAAAATTTTTTTTTCTGCTATAACAAATTTTTATTTATTTTGTGATGGAAATTTCTGGTTTTTTTTCGCGGCAACAATTTTATTACCACAATTAATGTATTATCAAAAAAAAGAAATGAATTTAGGATGTAAAAGATAGATAATAGAAATTCGCCATAGGGTTCGAACGTTTTTCTCTTATAGGATTAACTAATTAACTGACTAATTAACTGATAACTGATAATAGGTGATACCGGATGCGGATGAGCAAGAATGGTCAAATAATAATATCTATGCTGGTATTTTTCGATTCCGATTTTGGCGTTTTGATGAATGGTTAGAAGTTGTTATTGATGATTTGTTACCTACTCGTGATGGAAAATTACTTTTTGCTCGCTCGAAGACTGAGAATGAATTTTGGAGTGCACTACTTGAAAAAGCATTTGCAAAGTGAGAATCTTTTAATACTTAAAAATAGTATCAAAAAAAAAAGGTTTATTTAGCAGAAATTTTATGGATTATTTTTTCATTTATATCTTTTCTGTGAACAAATCATATGAATTATTTAAAATCTTCTTAAATCTTAAAGAATGGGAATATTTGAATATGCGGTTGCTTCGGACTCATAGTCGAGCACCGTAGATCCGATTCCTTGTCCCGAGGGAATAAATCAAGTCTATCTCATCAAAAAATTTGATGCTCCAGCCTCAACCCATGCTTCTTCCGTCAAATGACTCTATAGCAAAGATTTCTAATCGTATTTCCACAGTCGAAAATGCTATTTTAACCAGATATGGTGAATTCGAATCGCTTACTATTTGTCCTATAAATCCTGTAAATTCTATAAATTTTTAATTGCAAAATATTTTTGTGATTTATTATATTGTTTTTTGAATTCTATACTGGTTTTCGTTCCACATTCGTTATTCCCTATTCAATCACCCAATTTTCCCTTCCCTATTCAAAAACTTATATTCTATTTCCTCAATATTTTCACGTCATTATATTACACCTTTTGAGATTTTGCAATTTTTATAATTTATAAAAGCTGCGACTTTGGAAAAATTAGAATTTTCAAATGAGGATATTGAACCATATTAGAAGTGGTGAAGTCTATGAAGAGTCTTTAAGAATGGCAGAAAAAAAATTTACTTTCAAAAAATACCTCATTTTTGCTCCTTTAAACTTAAAAAAACTATTATTTTAAAAAGGCTTTAGCCTTATTTCAGATTATATGGATGTTATGAGAATTTAGTTGGTGGCCAGTTAGCAGACGCTCTTCAGGATGTATCTGGTGGCGTAGCAGAGACAATCAACGTTCGTCAATTTCTCAATAATAATGGAAATAGCTCAAGCGCTAAACTTTTCGAAACGATTCGAAATGCTTTCGATCGAAAGGCACTTATCGTCGCTGCAATCGCTGTACGCTCAATGTGAGATTCTAAATGCAAATGGCAATCGTCCCAAAGCCGAAAAATAAAAATTTTGAGAAATTTTCCTAGTTTTTCATATAAAAAAAGAAAAGAATATACTCATTCACTCTATTAAATTTAAAAATAGTCATATTTTAAATTTAATTAAGGTTTTACATTTTTCGATTACCATAGCGTTTTGCAAGATTCATTGTTGTCCTCTGAAAAGAACTCTAAAAAAATCCAATCGAAATTTAAATTTATTAAAATTTGCAAAAATTGTTTGATTTCCAAACATTTTTTTAAAATTTATATTCAAGAATAATTACAAAAATTAAGATCGATTTAATTCATTGAATTACTTTTATCGCTATGAAAAATTTTAGGCAAAAAACAAAGAAGAAATTGAGGAAACTCTTAGTTGCGGATTGGTTAAGGGTCATGCATATGCAGTGACCGCAGTTAGATATATTGAATTGGATGCAAAGAATCGTTCATTCATCTTTTTTGCTACGGTACAACGAAAAATGATGATAAGACTACAGAATCCTTGGGGTGAAAAAGAATGGAATGGTTCATGGTCAGATGGATCAAGAGAATGGGAAGAGGTTAAGTGTCATTATTTCATTTGTTTAATATCGATATAGCCTATTAGGTTATTTAATAATGTTTTCCAGATTTCAGATTTTAATTACAATAATCGATTACAAATTTAGGTTACAGAATCACAAAAGAAAGAAATCGGAATCACAGTCGATGAAGATGGTGAATTCTGGTAAATTTTATATTTTCTAGAAATTCCATTCTTTATCTAGTCGAATCGAATATGCTTTCATACTTGAAGCAGAAAAATTTTCAGGATGCCATGGGATGAATTCGTGAAATATTTTACTGACTTAAGCGTATGCCAACTTTTTAATACATCTGCATTTTCCTTCGGAAGCAAATATCGTGAATGGAAATTTAAAAATGTTTGGGAAACGCATGGCGGTAAAGCTGGTGGTCCTCGTGATCGAGCTGGTGGATGTCTCAATTTTGCTGCCACATTTTGCTCTAATCCACAAGTAATTTTTTATTTTAATTCTTAAATTTTGTTCCCTAGCTATATCTTATTTTTCTCTTTATAAATTACTTGGCCTATCTACTTCGCCTATCCTATGGTGATTTTTTTAAATAATCCTGTTTGTGCTTAATCAAAAATATGAAATATGAATTATTTAATAATCAACAATCTAATAAATATTTCTGGTTTTCGGGATATTAGAAGATTTCCTCATAAGGGAGTCATGGAGTTACTTAAGGATAAGTGGATTGTCTGCTGTTATTAGTTAGATCTACTATAATCATTTAACTAGAATCAAACCTATCGTTCATTTCAATCGAAATAAAAGAACATTAAAGGACCATAAAGGACCATTACCATTAAGACCTCTGGACCATTGTTTCCTCATGGATTTATGCTTCACATTTTCTAATGGATCCTTCAACTATCTTTTTAAAGAATTGAAGAAATACCATCAAAAATAATTACACTTATAATACTTAAAACTAAGGGTACCTAATTTTTTTTGCACTTTATTTGCAAATTATTAATTCAGTCAACCCCCACAAAATTTAGCCAAAATTATTCTATTGAAACGAAAAAAATTAGCCATTTACGAGAATTAATTAATGAAACAAGTATCACTTATCTATTTTTATTTCTATTTTTAGTATCTTTTTGATATCGAAGAAGACGGTTGCGATATAATGTTCGCATTAACACAAAAGGAAAAACAAGAAGGTGAAAAAATGCGTGAACCATTTGTCACTATTGGCCTTCATGTTATGAAAGTTGAAAGCAATCGAAGATATCGAATTCATCAGGTTATATACATTATTGCATGCATTGTTTCTGGTTTCACTTGCTGCGCTAATTATTTGCGTGAAGATGAGATAACTCCGAGCGCTGGAGATGACCGTTTTTGCAAAGAGCTGATAATTTGCCGATAAAGATAGATATGGCTTCGCAATTGCTAGCATAATTGTCTTTTAGTATTAATTAAATTTTATTGTTAAGCTCTTTTTTCATGAAAAATTTTTTTGCAATTCTTGAATTAAAGAATTTTTCAATTTCTCTTATTTCTTCCGTAAATTTATGAGTATAATTTTTTTTTTTTGTTTATATCTTTCAATTATATGGTTTTCTCTAAGGGATAGTATGGCTCAGTGGGTTGTTGTTCAATTCAGAATGATGCTGAGGTTTTCTATTCCTCGCAGGAGTGATTCTTCAAAAATCTGGGGGAAACTGGTACATATAACTCACCTATATTTCTGTCACCAAGAGACTCGCTGGCATATTTGTTAAGTGCGACAAACCAGCGGAGCAAGTTTAACCAGTAATATGAGGACTCTTTTAAAAAAATATGCATTTCAATAAATAAATGGTAATTATTTTAGCCCATAAATTCTATTGCTACTTCGGATTATGCAAATGCACGTTCCGTTTTTCTTCATCTTCGCGATCTTAAAAAAGGTCGTTACATATTGCTACCAACGACATTCGCTCCACGAGAACAAGCCCAATTTCTCTTGCGTATCTATTCTGAACAGAATTCCTCTCCAAAAACACTCGAACAACACTCGCCACGAAATATATTCTGTTGTCGAAAAATTGTTTCAGTTTCACGGATCACTATTGTTAGTGCCAAAATGGAAACCACACGATGTAAGTGGCATTTTTCATAATTTATTCTTTAATTCTTGAAAATTGTTGGACTATTCAGAAATATTTTATATTTTCTGATTTGTTGCTTAAAATGCTCGCATTTTGATATTAAATTTATTTAATAATATTAAATTTTGATAAATAAATAATATAAAATTTTGATGATATTAAATTTAAAAAATCAAGCTTTAGCGATCAAAATATATTCCGTACTGAAATGTGGAAATAAAAAATTTCGTTTGCCAACAGTCGAAGGAGTTAATGTGGAATGGAACGAAATGTTTATTTTTTATGCGTATGTATTTAGTATTTTTTATTTAAAAAATTTTCTTTGGACCACGTAGTAACTCAGTGGAAAAACTTCATGGGGCTGCAATGTCGCCAAATGTAGAATTCAAAAAATGGTAGAATAGTCACCTAATTTGGTTGTTCCTCACTTTTCGGAGCGCTGGTACTAACTTCCAATTATACATCTGGCAGGAATAAATTTATCCTTTAATTATCCGGTTTATGCTAGCGATACTATATTTGTATCGCCAAGTGACTTCTCTCCAATATTGAATGAGAATTCGTTATTTTTATTTAATAATTATTCATATCTTTTCAATATTTAATTTTTTTTTTATAAAATTATAATCTGAATTTTCGATTATATTTAGGAAAATAAAAAATATTATAAGATGGAATTATAAGCTTTAAGATAGAATCAGAATATTTTTAATTTGCATTATTTATTTTTTATTTGAAATAAGTAGGTGATTAGCGCTTATCACTTTTTTTGCACTGGCTATTATTACAACGAAAAGTTTTTGCTTGAGGCTCACTTGACTGATAGGAAAATGAGTGATTCTCCAGAAGCATCTGGATTTTTTAATAGCGGGATATAGGTGTTTTTTATTGTCTCGCGAATTTCGACGCATGATAAGTTTGAACATTGATGCTATTAATGCCATTTGTTTCTGATTTCTATTATTTTTTTAAAAAAGATTTTTATATGATTTTTACTCAAATTCTTGTTTTATTCATTGGAAATTTTTAATATTTGACGGTTGCATAACTTAAGTTGATTTACCCCTAATATTTGCCCCTTTTTCAAAATTCAAAATTTTTAAAATTATTCAAAATATCAAAATTATTAGATTTTCGGTGGAAAAAAAGTTTTTTTTTTAGGGGAAAGCTTAGAAATTTTTATATTGTGGAAGTATACGAGGAACGAATGTTGAAAGATCGTTTAATTGGTACCGCTCGCATAATGGAATTGGTTGAAAATGATAGTAGAACAATCGACGCCGATTTGAAAAGCTCAGATGATGGGAAAACTGGTACACTTACCGTACTTATTCAATCTTATGATGATCCTGTTTATCTCTAATAATTACATTCGTTACTTCAATAGATCATTTCCTATATTATTTTAATAACTTAATTTTTAATATATTCTTATTTTTTTGTTATTTCAATTTTTATCAGTTAGTTCCATATTATGTTTTGTTACTATTATTATCACTTCAGTTTTGTTATTATTTTTAATACTCCAGTTGAATATCCAGAATTTGCATTTGAACGTATGTATATCCTGAATATTCCGGAACATACTGGAATGAAAATTTACTGATAATTGCTTTTTTCATTTACTTATTACACATTTTTATATTACCTATAATTATATTGATGATTGAAATGATATGACATTTTTTAGCATTTTGTTCCATAATTTTAAATGATTTTAAGATTTAAAAAAATGGCTCTTGAAAAGGATATCTTATAGTTTTGCTTTCAAAATTAACTTTTTGCTGAATATTATTTATTCGCATTAATCAATCATCTAATCAATATTTGTAAAAATACCAACAAATATTTAAATTTTAAAAAATTAAAAAATTTTTACCTATTTTTTCGGGTAAAAATTTCATACAGTGTAGTAAATTGGTAGAATATTTAAGTGTCGCTAAATTGCTAATTTCAATAATTTCGTTCACTTTTTATTAATTAATTAATTAACCTTTTAAAACATATAGTAAATGAATGACTTTTAAAATTAAAATTTGCTAACTTTATAATTTACAATTATTTTTTCTAAATATTTCAAAAGTTTTTCACTTGTTTTGTTTTTCATTTTTTACGCTTCTCACTTATTAAAATTTGCTCATTTTATGATTTTTTGATTACTATAATTTCACTTCATATCGAGTTTTCCAGTTGAATACCAACAAATCCTGGAAAGAGTTTTTTATTTCACCTAGTCATCACGGCCATATATATACATATACATATATTTGATATAAACGAATATACAAACGATTAAATGGTCAACACATTGCTCCCGCTGAAAGGATGGTAGTATAACCGAAATATGAAAAAGAGATTTCCAATTCGCGTAAAAGCTTTTAATAAGACATCGGAGTGGTCAACCACTTAGTAAAATGCCCAAAATTTATTTCCTTAATTTCTTCTGATCTAGTTATTTCATGGAATTTATGTCAAACGTAGCTGAGGATATCAATAAAATAGTGTTTTATGCCAATATGAGATCTCTTAATTACTGACGGGTCAATTTATTTGAAATCATTTTAAGTGTTTAAGTCCGTTAAAAGCTACTATATTTCGCAAATGTTTAAAATTTATCCGTTCATTTCATCTAAAATTATTTTTATACAGTTTTTCATATTCGGCAATATTTTTGCATATTAATCGAGACAATTTGGCTCAATCTAAGAGTATCTTAAGATCAGAGATGTTATTATCATTATAATTGCTGCGATTGATAATTGACACTGATAATAGACTACAAATGAATAGAAAACCCTCTGTATAAAACTGATTTCAACTGCTAAGGATGGATAAAATTTTAAACCTCATAGATTATTTCAAAATTGATTTCTTTTTGATTTTTAAGATTTTTTAAAAGTCATTTAGTCATTTTAAAGTCATTCTTCTTATTTTTTAAAAATGATAATAGCAAAACTCTATAGAAAATTAAAATATAAATTAAATTAATATTTTAATTATTTTAAAAATTAAAATTATTGATATAAAATAAAATTAAAGCATGAATAACGGCATAAATACGATTAGAATAATTTAAATTAAAATATTTAAATATTTATTTGCAATTGAAAATGATAAAATGCCTCGGGCAAAAATGAAAAGCCGCAATTCAAAGGATTGAAAATGAAGAAATTTCTTTCAGAGAACATATTTTTTCAGAGAACAATCAATTTATATTTATTTATTTATTGAAAAAAATCCATGTTTTTGATTAAGCTTTTTCAATTTTATCATAATTTTTATAAATTTGCAATATTCACTTTTCCATATTTTTGACGATAGCACCAGATTGGATAGAAACGTCTTATTTTCTTGTAACCAGTGGAGCCAGCCTAACCAACAACATTAGAACAAATAAATGGATCTGCTCAGAAAGGCCAATTGAGTTTCTGCAACAATGGTGATAATTTTAGAATAAATAGCAAAAATAATAAAAAACAGAACAATAGTAATCTCTTTTTCATATATTCTTGGCAATCAAGTTTTTAATTCATAACTTTCTCATATATACTTATATTTTTAAATAAGTTACCTGTCTTTCATATTTCTTATTTTAATTTGCTATAGAAAGGAATCGTTTTTCTTCTTGCAATAGCACTCACTAATTCTGGTTTGACTGATTCCCATTGACTATCGGAACCACATCCCTCACTTTTAATGAAATAAAGATTTACTGTCGTCAAGAGGCAATCATGGTTTTTTCTAAGAGCACTCACTAATGCTGGTTAAGTTTTCTCATCGTTGACTTGTCGAAAGCAGATAAATTTTGTTTTAACATCATGCTAACCTAAATTGATAACAAGTTGATAACTTTTTACGGATTAAAGAGATCCCTTAGATAAAAAATATTTGAGCCTATCTGAATTTAATTCATAATTTTTGTATTTAAACTATTCATTGCTGGAAGAAATTAAGCCTGCGGCCAACGCGCATTGTCATCTAAATAAGCCTTAACGAAAGGTTCAGATTCATTTCATCTTTATTTATTTTTATTTTGCCAGTTTTGCTGTTAAATTTTTATTTTAATTTTTTCAACTAGATAAAACCTTCTATTATTTTATTTCATTAATGTTTAATAACACCAACAATTTATAACACTTCGTTTCCTTATATAAACAAATAAAATCGAGATTTATTAAAACGATTCGTTTTTCTTTCTCCACCATTTCTGGTTGTATTCGCTTCATTGACTTATCAGACTGGAGAGAGTCATTAAACGATAAAAATTTAAATGATAAAAATATAAGTGTGTCGCCAACTCCCATTTTTAATACGTTGCTTTTGGGCGTAGAATCTCAGCAGTGGTGCTTCGTTTAATTTGGGGTATTCAATATTTCCCCTTTTGCTTTCGCTGTTTAGCGATATTGCCTTTTGAAAAAGCGTCGGCAGAATTCAAATGCAAGACGTTCTTGATTCTGGGCTGCAAACCACTAAGCCATCGATGCACCATTTCATACGATTATTTGAAATCTAATGGAGTTTTACCAAAATATCATTAAAATTAAAAGAGAAAGAACCAAGCTATAGTTCTTTTCATTGATGTTATTCGACTTAAATCAAACCGCAAAATTTATTCATCTATCTTATTTTCTCATCCATCTTAATTTTTTTCCATGTTTGTCCAATAAGAAGAATATAGACGACTATAAATATGTCGCAAGTATTGCTTACTTGTCGAGATTAAGTTCAATGAGCGTTGAATTTATATAGTCGATGATGAGTCGCATTAACTTCTAATCCGATTATGTTTTTGTTAAATTTTTCACTTTAGTTTAGGAAAAAATCTACAAAATTTGATAGAAATTTTAAATGATATTTATTAAAATAATTCAGTTAATTGATATTTATTAAAATAAATGATTTGCAAAAGTTGCAATTACTAAATTATTAAATTTAACTTTATGCAATTTTAATTCAATTTTTTTATAAACTTCCTTTTTTTTCTTTCCTCCATTCGTGTTTGACGCCTATGGTAATTACGAGAAGAAAGGAGTCACTTGGTTGGGAATAGAATGGAAGAGGCCGGATTTCATTTTTAATGATAGGTTTAGAGCCGTCACGAAAATCGAACTTAAAATGGCTAAACCTTCATTAAACTATTCGACCACTTTATCTCTTATATAAAGGCCATTTCATGATCTCATAATTTCTTTTTTATAAGAAGATAGCTTTTTTCTCTATAAAATAATTTTCCTCATTTTTTCACCTTTTTTTTCTTTTTGTGGTATTAAACAAGTTCATTATTCAAAGATTTTATCATCATTTGCGCTATCCATGTCAAAACAAGTTATAAACACATGAAAATGAGCGAATATCGAAAACATCGTAAATATTTGCAAAGATAAACAAAGGACGACAGAGCCAAATGTTCCATAGTTTATGGCTTATTTCGGCTGTGATATTTCTTCGATATTTAATATTGATAATATTGATAACTCCCTATCAGAGAGTCACTTGGAGATAGAAGTACTGACGCCAAATATTCTTTATACTTTTAATGATAACTTCCTGTAAAGAAAGGCTAATCGAACTACCTTAACTTTTTAGAAATTCATATTAGTTTTAAGAGAAATATAATAGATTTAAATATGAAACTATTCAAAAAAAAAATGATTAAAAATTTTCCGCTTATGAATCCATTAATTGTACAATTTCGTATACTTCAATAAAATTCGATCTTCTATCTATGCAATTTGATTAAATTGATGAGTTCAATGAAATATTTTCTTTCGATTCTTTTACCATTTTTAACGCACTACAATGCATTTTCTTTTTAATTATTGGTTACGGATTGTTTCCAACAAAAAAAAAATTATTTTTATTTCGATTATTTTTGAATAAAATGCCAGCAGCCTAATCAGTAATGGTGATAGCTGTTAATATTCCATCAGTTCCAGATCTCACGTTGTCACCACCACATAAGATTTGTTCCACTAAGCCTTTTTATCCTGGACCAAAAAAATGGTTAACGATTAACTCTTATCATTTCTGATTAAATTCAAATTTTCGAAATTTTTTACCAAAAAGTGATTGGCTGAATATATTTCTCAAATTATTGGTTTTTTTTTGTTAAATATAGAAATTAATGTTAAATTCTTTCCGGATTATAATGATTATGGTAATTTTTACAAAACTGTTTTTTTTTAGGAAGGATAAATTGTGATTTAGGGCGGTGTTTAAATAGCGCTTAGGATTTGAATCAGGTCAGCCGACCAGTGCAATGCGATTGACGAACCCGTTCGGTGTTCTGCAAGATTTTCTTGCCATTATTTTCTATAAGTATGGTTTATTTATATCTAATAATCCTCGGCTATTTATCATTATTCCAGTTTTAATAACGGTTGCATTATCATTTGGAATTATCAATATCACCGTTCAGGTAATAATCATTGATAAAGTGATTTATAAAGGTATAAAAAAATGTCTTATCTATAATCTTTAATGCATTCCTATGATAATTATTCATTGTTCATTGTTGTTTCATTTTGTGCTGTCTTCAAATCTTAATAGCCTCATTTCTCCTTTTATAACTTAAGGTTACTGTCATTTATCGCAAAAATATTTTTTAAAAATTTAAATGATAATTATTTTCGAACATTATTAGCTTTTTCAATCGTTTTTGGGTTGAAATTTTAAATATCAAAAAAAAGCCAATCTTTTTCGGAAAAAAAATTTCTATTATAATACAATGCAATTTTAGAGTTAACAAAACTCGTTTTGGTCACTTTATAAATTTTGACTAAAATAAAATATGATTATGGGAAATTTTGAGAAATTTTTTGAACTTAATTATTTTTTTTCGAATGGTGGAGGGATTCTTAAAGAAAAAATTATCGATAAAGAAAAATTATTATCATTTTGCGAGACAATTTATCACGATTAGCCTCTTTAAAATTTATTTCTCGATTTGCATTTTTTTACATTAAAATTCTTAACGGATATTGTAAAATGGTTCACCCAAATTGAGATTACATCAAATTTTACATCAAATCTAGTAATAACAATCTTTTCAGGATGATCTCAGGTTTCTTTATTCACCACTTCATTCACCTGCTCGTTCTGAATATAATATCCATAAAACATTTACTGGAGATTCGATTAATAGTACATATATCGCAATTGCTGTTGAGCGAAATGATAAACTAAAGAACCTCCTTAGAAGTGTGAGGAATTTGCGAGTGTTTTATTTATAATCAATAAAGTCAAGTTAATTTTATAAAAAGTTAATCGGATGAATTTGCCAATGATATATTTGCTATTATCACTAAAAGTTCAAACCATTTCGATTTTTGTTGATAGTGTGAAATTGATTAAAAAAGAAATCCGAACGATGTTGGAAAACCCTTCCATAGTTTTTATCCTCAAATTTTAAATTATAATTTTAAAAACCAAAGAGTAGTCAAAATTCTTAGAATTTTAGCGTTGAAAAAAATTAGATTTATTTTTTATTTGTAAAATTTATTTTTCATTTAAAATTTATTTATTTACTTAAAATTTATATAAAATTCTTAACAGTTCAATCTAATTTCTAAATCATTTTTGACATTCGAAACTTTCTTTTTTTTTTAAAATATTAAATTAATATTAATTAAATATTAATTAATTTGAAATAATAAATTCTTTTTTTATTAATCATGCATTTTGTTTCGATTTCAAAGAAATTTTATTCAAGGAGATTGCATCAGAAATTATGGATTTAAATCAGTATATTCTTCATAATTTAACGATTAACTTAAATGGAAGATTTTATAATTTCGGAAGGGATATTTGTGTGAGATTTGATCTCTGTCCGGTTAGCAATTCGGTTGTACAATTCTTCTTTGATGCTTTCTTCGCGAATAAAAAGGTAAAAATGATTATTTTCCGTAACGCCTGGAAAAATTTAATGTAAGGAAAAGATTTTGAGTTCGTTACGAGAAACATACTAATATCCTTTCTAACATTAGAAATCTTATAGAATTTTATGGATTTTCCAACCTTAAATGAGAAAATCAAACAAATCAAACTAAATTTATCTTTAAATTGGAAGTTTTTTTTTTAGAAAATATAGAAACATTTCTTTTGAGGTTTAATTTAACTTTAATAAATGAATTTTTATTTTCAAAGTATCAAGGCGATCATCGTATTCGACTCGATTATCCATTTTTACAATTTTTCGAGCGAAAATTTTTTTTACCACTTCATCTTTATGGCGTGGAACTTGACGGTAGCAATGCTATTCGCTCCGTTCAAATCGTTCATTTGTATTATCCAATTCCTTCAACGGATAGGGTTTCCTTTTAAATGATAATATTCGAATTAATCTATATTTTTTACGATCGAATAGTTTGGCCTAAGTCCAAACCATCGCAAATTCAATTGTTCATTCCTAACATTAGTAGAAATCTATTATTGTAAATGGAACAAGATGATTTGCTCATACATATTTATCAGTTTCCAACTGTTTATGATGAAATAATGGTTAGTACAGCCAGTCTAAGCAGAAATAGTAGTCCATAAAAGAAAATTTCCTGGCGGGTTTTTGGGTAAAAGAGGAAGGCATTCTTAATGATATTTAAATTTAATACTATATTTTATATATATAAATATATTTTATATTTTTCCAATAAAAATTGAGTTAAAATAAAAAATTCGAAAATTTTAGGAAACTGCCGAAAGCGTTGAAAAATCTCTTATTCGACCGCTTCGAGAATATATTAATACTAAAAAAGAGCAAAGCCTTATCAAAGCATCAATGTTTAGTTTCTCATTACTAAAGGATGAAATGACGAAGAATGCTGTTTATACTTTTCCATTCATATCACTTACGGTCCTTCTTCTCGTTTCATTCACCGTATTTTCATGGTTCATATTTCTTATGTTCTTAAGGATTTCTACAAAAATAGGATTTGATGAATAAATCGTCTAATCCATAATGATTGATCAAATGTTGTTTTCATAAAAAATAAGTGTGAATCATTTATGAATCAAGAAATCTATGGAAAAAAATGCTCTAGTGATTATTATTATTAAGTTAGTGATTATTAAATGATTTATGATACCAACTTTATCTCTTTTATAAAAGATTCCATATAGCATGACTGGAGACTGGATAACTTCGAAACCCCTTGAAGCTCTAATGGGAGTCCTTTCATCATCATTCGCAATTGTTAGTGCTGCTGGCTTTATGTTTTTGATTGGATCTCCATTTGTTTACCAGTTAAGTAATTTTGTTTTTGAAATTCATTGGATGCCAGATTCATACGAAATAAATAAAATTTGAGGATTTAAATTTCAATAATCTGGATAGTCTATTAAAGGATAAAATATTATGACAATAGTTGAATGAAATTTCATGGAAATTTTGAATTATCGATAGCGAAATCCAACCGAAAACGGTTGTATTAATACTACAGAGATGTGGAAGTATTAAGAGGATTTTTAGGGGAATGGAAATGACCTGCAAGATTTGCCAAATAGATATGAAAGAATCCAAAATGCATTTTATAATATAATATAATAACAATAATTTAAACATTAAATTTTATGAAAGGTGATTAATAGTTTGAATTCGAAAATTATTTGTTATGAAAACAATTTCAATTCGCCTATACTTTAAGCAATATTTAATTAATTAATTTTAGGTTACTGTTATGCCATTTTTGGCCTTAGCAATCGGTGTCGATGATACGTATGTGATGCTAGGCGCATGGCAAGATACGAAAAGGAATCTTCCGCCATCAAAAAGGATGGCACTTACATTGCAAGAAGCTGGAAGGTTAGCAAAAATTATTTTTTATTTATTACTTAGATTCATATTCGTAATAAATTTTTATTCTCTTTTGCTAAAGAATTTGGAACTATGTAATTCATAATCGAATAATTTCAATTATTGTAGTGCAATAACAGTAACTTCCATCACATCAATGCTTTCATTTGGCATTGGTTCTTATAGTACAACACCAGCAATATCTATTTTTTGTCGTTTTATTGCTGTTGCTGTTATTTTCGATTGGTTCTACCAGGTTAACCTTAATATTATTTTAGAAATCAGCTGTTTTACAAATTTTCTTTTGTTTAAAAATTTTTTTAATATTAAATCGTTTTTAGGTTACATTTTTCGCTGCTGTCATGATAATTGGTGGTAAACGTGAAGCAGCGGGTTATCATTGCGTATATGTATGGAAAAAAATGCCTCTTGAAGAAATCAAACAGGTGAATATAATCAAATATAATTGAAAAGAGAATGATCATTTGGTATATTCTTCTGATATTTGATTCGTCTAGAAATCGAGGCATTTGGTTATATTAGTTTTCCATGATTTTAGAGAATACCCACATTCCTAAAGTAATCCTACTGATTTCTGCAAACTCATCTATGTTTCTATATTTATCTAACTCTCTGGCGAAGGAATCTCATCTTAAATAGCTAGTGAAATGAACCAAACTATAAATTGTGTCTGCTATTTGAAAAAAGGCAAATTGAATAACAGAAATTCACCAACGCACCTGATTAAGTTTTTAAAAGTGATAAAATCACAGAAATTTTGATAAGTAAATTATGCCATTTGAATCATTTACATTCTCCGAAATGGTGCCAATTTTGTAATTATAAAATTTCTTAAAGTAAATTTATCCGAGTTTTTTGTTTTAGCTTTTGAAACTCCAAAATCTGTTTATGTTACCAAAATCTTAACTCAGTTTTGCAGTGAAATTTAATTTTTAACAAATGTCAAATATTTGCAGTCAAGAGAATCGAATTTTATATCACCGAGTCATTTTTTGTTTGCCGATTATATTGCTCCATGCCTTTGTCGAAAAGTTACCCGAATTATTATTATTGCTTTATATTTAGTATATATAATTTTTGCTATTTATGGATGTTCATTAATGAAACCAAATTTAACACCAAGCAAATTATTGGTGGATGATTCACCACTAACTCATTATCTTGAACTTGCTGAAGAAAAAATTTGGTCTCAAGGAGCGGTTCCTCGTGTATATGTCAATAATGCACCAGATTTAAGTTCTAATTCAAACGAGGTTTACCAAATATTGTTATCTTATTAAAATAAAAATCATATTAAAATATTTCTTCGCTAAATTCGTCTGATAATAAAATAGATGAAATTATGCTTTGAAATTTATTGAGAGATAAAAGATATAAAATATTTGATAAATAAAATATTTTGAAAAATTGTTTTAAATCAGGTTGAAACCTAACGTTGAATAGGCCACAATTATAAATTTATAGATATCAACAATCGCATAGGTCAAGGCGAATCAGAATTATTTACCTATAATTAAAATCGTGGATAAGAAAATTACATTTTAACTTTCTAATTTTAATATCGATCAGATAATTATTTTATCTGATAATTGATTACGAACATAAGAAGTTTAAATTATTGCCTACGAATTAAAAAACCCGTCATTAAAAAATTCGAGTAATTTTGGCGACCCACTTTTATTTTCTGTCACCAAACGACTCTCTGATAAGATTTCTCAGATCGTCGAAATTAGAAATAATAACTCTCTATCAATTTTTATTTAGCAATAGCAATGTTAATAGCAATGAGTAATTTGCTCGTTGATATAGAAGAAAATCTTTTAGCTCGGATCTCGAACTTGAATATCAAAAATTAACTATTCTAGATTGAAACGATGCTAAAACTCGCGCAAGAATTAGAAGAGATGGACTATTCGATAGGTGCAAATTCGACGCAATATTGGCTGAGAGATTTTATCAAATATCGGCAATATTTTGATAATAAAGATGAAGAATTTTATGAAAATTTACAAGAATTCTTAAATCTTTCATTTAATTCGCATTGGAAATCGTATTTACAGTGGGATAATCATCCGACAAATGTAAGTTTTGTTTCTTTTTTTTATCGACAAAAATTATTTTTATTTTTATTTTATTTTTTATCTTTTATATTCAATTTTTTGATAAAACAAATTTTAAAGAATTAAGTGATAACAATTAGCTAATTATCAGTCAGTCAAATCTGTTAGTCTTTGATAGGCAATAATCCAAAAATTATCAATTTTTAAAAATTTTTCATTAATCAATTTCTATCCATCATTTTTTTTAAAAACTGACTGATTTTTTTGAAAAACTAATTGAAAAAAAACTACCTTCAAAGAAGAATAGCGCGAATCTTTTGATTGTTTACAAATCTGTTAAATTATCACCGTTATCATCATGATCTAATCGCAATATTATTTCTGGTTTAATTGGCTGATTGGTTAGATGCTCAAACGAGATTCTTCTAATCAAAGATTTAAACAAAAATCTAATTAATTTTGCCATAAAATTGAAAATTCGAAAAGGGTAGCAAATGGATTTCTAAGGACGAAATTTAATTTTTAATTAATAATCTTTAAAAATAGACTGATTAATAAAAACTAAGCATATTCCAATTTTCCACTGGGTGTGAATTGTCGATTTCATTGCATCGCTTTTTTCATGATTATCATGATTATCATCGCTTTTTTCATGATTATCATGATTATCCAAAAAAAATTTTTTAGGTGCGTTAAGATGAGGGTTAAATTCGGAAAATTATTTACAATTTTACAGAAGAACAAGAAAATTGTTCGTCGTTTCTTCTTCACAACAGCATATAAAATAAAGAATTGGAAAATTCGAACACATTTATTAATGCAATGGCGAAATATTACAAGTAAATACGCCAACTATGGAGTTATTGTATACGACGAGAATAATTTTTATTCGGATCAAGTGAGTAATTCGCATATGAAAATATGAAAATGAATAATAATAATGGTACTAACAAATATGACAATTTCAATAAATATTTTTTCTAAAAACGAGTATTATTTCCGGCGTTTTTTCCAAATTGATTGGAGGCCTTTTATCATCACAGAACAGAGGGGCTGATGAGTCCCTCACCACTGAACCCGTATATTCTTTTTTTATGAGTTTTATCATTACTGGTTAAACTCGCTCCGCTGGTTGTCGCATTGGACAAATATACCAGGGAGTCCCTTGGCGATAGAAATACAGGTGAATCGCCAGTACCATCCGGATTAATTATATTGGTGTGAAATGAGAAAATGCTGTAAAGCTATAGGGAAATAAACAGTATTCTATTGTATTATTATTTATTATTTTTACAAAACCTATGGTAATTTTTTGTTTCAGATGTTAGAATTGCAATCTACAACTTTTGCTTCACTTTTCACTGCTGTATTAGCTATGATTATTGTATGTATTCTTTTTATTGGCGATAGTTCAATCGTATTTTGGGTAGTTTTTACAATGGTTTCAATGGATATTGGAATTGCTGGTTTTTTGGCACTTTGGGGCGCTGATCTCGATCCAACAACAGTCGTTAATATTTTGGTGAGTAATTGATTATTCTTGGTTTGATAAACTTTTGAAATCAGGATTAATATACACTTTTTATTATCTATTTAATTTGCAGATGAGTATAGGTTTATGTATTGACTTTTCAACGCACGTCGGTTATCGAATCTATCGAAGCGAACAACGAGATCCAGATGCTCGTATACGTGACGCTCTTGGTGCAATAGGTTGGCCAGTTGTTCAAGGTGGCGTATCAACATTTCTTGCTATTGTTGTTATGATACTTGTGCCATCACATGTTGTTCGTACTTTTGCTAGAACCTCTATTCTTGTCGTATTAACGGGCTTATTTCACGGAGTTTTTCTTCTACCAGTTATCATTCGTTCCTTTGCAATATGCAATGTTAACGAAAAAAGCACCAAATAAATAACTTCAAATTCGTATATTATGTGATGAATGAGCTTTGTTCACTTCTCGTTCAATACGTTTCTTTGGTTTCATTTACCAAATTTATGGATATTATTATTGTATAATTTTTCATTGGTTTTTTTATCATTTAACACTTTTATTTTTTATATAAATTTTTATTATACAAATAATATTTTGTATATAATTAATTAAATTAGGTTTGCTCAACATTTGTAATATTTCGCGATTAAATTCATAATTTTTTGTTTTTATACATGAAAGCCTTAATTAAAAATCATTTTTAGAAAGAATCAAAAAACATCTAAAAGAGGTAAAGTAAAATTAATAAATTATTTATCGCATTAAAGTTCCACTAGGCACCACTATTTCTGGCTTATATAGGTTTATATAGCCTCATTGGCTACAACCTCGTAAGCTTTTTGCTTCGATTTTAATTAGATATTTTATAAACGGAGTTTGGCTTGAATTTGATTAATTCGCAATTTGCTTGCTTATGTAATTATGTAATTACACACAAATGACAAATAATAACCAATGATAAATAACAACAAAAACATGTTGTATATTTTATAATAATCAAATTTTTAACTGGTTTTCATTCTGATAAGGTCTGATAAATATGATAAATATGATAATATAAATATGATAGGAAGGATGTACCTAAATAGAATTTATGCCTTTTGCCTCATTAAAATTCATCAGAAATTTTGTAATATTTGAGTTCATATCATGGCGTTTTCTATTTGTAATATTTGAGTTCATATCATGGGATTTTCTATAACTTAACATAATTTCAAATTTTCTATAATTATAAAAAATTTATAAAAAATTTTATTACAATTTTAACAATAATAAAATTATAAAATTTTCTTTTATAATTTACATATACTTTTATATACTTTATAAAATTTCATTGATATTATTCTATTGTTTCTTATCTTTGTTTCAACTAATTAAACCTGCAGATCTAAAGAACCAATTAGACAATTCCTTTTCTTCTAATTACACTCACCATTTTCCTCATCGCTAGCGTATTTAGCTATAAGGACTATATATGGAGTCCGAAGGATCCCAAGAATCGTTCCGACGTTTTTAATTAATTTATTTTGGAAAATTCCTCAAAAATTTTGTTCATAAAGTATAGCCTTAATTATTTGTTTGACATTTACGAAAAGCAAAAACAAAAAAATGGCTGAAAAAATGATAAACATTCTAAAATATTCACCAAGCCTAAGCCTATAAAGTGTTCACCAAATCTGAGACTATAGAAGACATATTATATTATTAACATATTATATAACAGACCTATTATATTATATATTAAAGCAAAAATTATTTAAGGATTGATTATTTTAATAATCAATATTTATTTAAAAAAGGTCTATAAAGGTTTATATAAATAGGTCTATAATTTATATTTCAAAGTACTCCTATCGAATATATTTTCAATCGCATGAACCATTACGAAAATAAGAAAACTTACCAAAAGCTGGGATGCTTCGTTCGAATTTTCCCGAACTACAACTAGCATGCAGTGATTTGTTAATTTCGGGTAATTTCCAACCCAACACAATTCCTAAAACATAGAATTTGCAGATGATTATTCATAATTTATTTAAAAAAGCTTTGCAATATAAATTTTTAATTTGCAAATATAAAATTTATTTATAAAATTTATAAAAATGAATTTCTGAAAACTTTAATATGAATTAAACCTAAAAAAACATCGAGAAAAGTACCCCTAAACTAAATATAATAAATAGGGCCGTGAAAAAAAACGTGGTGGCTGCAACCGTAAATATTCGAAGGAACTGTGAAGTCTGAAGCTGCGACCGATTGTAAGAGTATTCTTTTTCAAATTTAAAATATATTTTAAATTTTTTGAATTATTTTAATAATATATATTATATATTTTATTATATATTTTAAATTTAAATTTTGGTATTAGGCTTAGACGCCGATTTTTAGAGAAGTCGGGC